GTGACTCTCAGGTACATCTACCTCCTATAACTACACTGACTTCAGAGCACTGTAATCTTGTATCAGTTATTTGTCCTGTATTTCTAAAACACTAATAAAAGTCTTGCAAATATGTAAAGATATTATAGCTATCTTCTTAGCAAGATAGTGAATGTATCCATTTTCTAAAGCAATCTAAAGCCATTAGTAATGTGCACTCTGGGGCATAGCTTTACACTTGCATCAAGTATTAGGGCCAAAATGTCAGATCATTTTAGACTTGAGCTTACTCTAGTTGAAAGCAGCCTTTGTAATGACAATTATCATTGACTGTAAATATGCCTGACCCTCTGCGTACGGATAATAATGACACATTTGTTAGAATCAAACCATAAGAAATGGAAACTTATCAACAGTTTTTATAATCATACAGTAAACAGGATGCAGATTGGTTTTATTTATTAATTCAAACTTAGCTCTACAGCGTATTTCTAACACAAAGGTGGGCTGCCTTGTAGTAGGTTTCTCAGGAAAGTCAGCATGTTTTACCATTGCTAGTAGACTCATCTTTCTGCTGAACACAAGACAGATCCAACACAGTATGAGTATTCATCTAAGTAAATACAGAACTTTGGATGGAAAGAACTTGGCACGTTATTTTAAGCAACCTTTCAGCAGATTATAAATTGTGCACAATACACAGCCTTCTCTGGTGTAAAAAATCCACTTTTTTCACTAGGGATTTTGGTGGAAATGGATCATCCTCACCAAGAACAGTTTGTGTAAGTGAACACAAAGCTTAAGAAAGAGAACAGTAACCTCATGAAAGGCCACTTAACCTCCTTCGTCCCATCTCCCCTTTTTCAATAAGCCTTCACCAACTTACTTCTCCTATCCAAATCTGGATGCCAAAGCAGTTATGACATGGAAACCCATTGAAAAGTAGAAAACCCAGTTAAAAAATAACCCAACACCTTTTGACAACTGAAGCTTCAACAGAAGGAACAGATATTTTTGGCAAAATGCTATCCTGGATTGCTGTTGCATTCTCTCGAGTAACACGTTCTGGCCAAGAAACACATTACATGTCTCCTACTCCAGCTCTCAGCTACTGCAAAAGGGGTTTCATCACTTCGAAGCAACTTGCATATCTGAGCTGCCTTCCAGTGGACATGACTGGATAATTGCAACCACCTTAATCCAACCAACTGAATAGCTGTTAACCACCTTAATCAGCTCATGCATATTTATCGCTCTCTGAAACTTTTAGAGACTATCTAGCAAGAGAGGCAACATACATATCCTCCCTCTCAAAGATGACTTTTCATAGATAACGATTACGTCTGCGTGTTTGGAGGGATAAGAAATAACAAAGAAACAACCAAATCTTAAATCCTGCAGACAATGGCCTTGCAGAAAATGCAGCCTCATTGATGAAAGTTCCTATCTCCTTTATAGCTGGGTAAACTTTCTGCCCTGAAAACGTTAGTTAATGCAGTAAGACTGTAACAAAAATAAGCCATTCATTTGTAAAAGAGCAGTGAGGTGGGGACACCTACCACAGATAAAGATCACACTGTGTCAGGCTGCATGCCATCCTATTTATAGCTTGACCACAAATGCAGGCATGGGGCATCTTGACCTCTCCCCCACTTCTTTTCTTAAACCCACAATATTTTAGAGCAAGATATCAAGGATTCCCTAAAACTATGTGACTGGTTCCTATCTATTACAAGATCCACAAAAAGCTGCAGAATGGATAAACTCTATGTCAAGCGTTACACTAGCAAGACAAGAATAGGTAAGTGATGTGTAGGAACCAAATCCTGCTGTACGTGACATCACTCTATGTCAAGAGAAGCTCCTTGGAAGCCATACCTGACAGAAGTTACTGGGCCAAACAATTCCAAACTTAATTCTCTTGATCTTACATGTTACTATCCATTTACTGTAGTCTGAGTTCAAGCTTGACAATCAACTATTTACTACTTATTAATCCGACAAAAGGATAGCAAGCAGGATGCTGTTTGGTAGATAATACAAAGGAGTCTTTCTGCCTGTCTACTTTCCAGTCAGCTTATTCTCCCAATCACCTAAGAAATGAAACCTCCAAGTAACAGAAAGGTGGTTCCATGGTTCCATGTTCATTAAATCAATCTCCAGAAATAGGCAAAAAAGTCACAGGTTAAAACAACCAACCTACCTATGCCTCCAAAAACACTGTGAAAGGAAAAAACAGAAGTGTTTTCTAGAAGCATAGGTCTTTTTGCTTATTTACAGACTTTTAGCCCATATAAAGACTGTCTAAGGGAGGGCTCTATCAAGTATACTTAAGGTTAATAGATACTACAATGTCAAATTCCTACACTGGGCATTCACATATTGCATGTTTATGAACACGTGTGTGCACATAAATACATGGTAAAAGCAGTTACCAATATTTTGGAGACTTTTAAATCTTTTCGTTGATGTTGCTCGGACTTTTTTAACTAATATGTACAGCTCAAATGACTGGGTACTTCCAAACAAGCATTACAAACTACCTGTATTCACTTAATGGTTCTGGAAGAAAGAACAGCCCTATTAAAATCAAAGGCCAACTTCTACTGACTGAAGTGGCTTAATACACCCTAAAATCCATATAAGCTTCAATTTTGCTTTCCTTTATACTAATGGAAATCCTAAATAATTGCTCTGAAGTCAGTAGAGACTCATGGGATAAATACAAAACGAGCAAAAGGGTCATCCTATTTTATAGCTTAGCTCAATAATGTGTGATAGATTAACTCCAGTGTTACAAAGACAGTTTAGGGCCTTTGATTTGCAGGTTTATGTAAAGTGATTAAAAACTTGGGATACAGAATTGACCCATGATAAAACTGCACCATGAAAGACTGACTGGGAAGGGTATTCATGTTTTAGAATATGCTATGAATGAAAGGGGCTTCTGGAAAGATTCTTAAGAAGAGATACATGATCAAATACAAGCCAAAAGAACCAGAGGCTTTAATCAAGAGATAAATGAACTCCTTATTTTTACAAGAGATAAAAACTAATTTAACTGTATAAAAAGACAGATGAGATCTGCTCAGGTATGCAGTGGGCACTGCTTTGTGGATGGTATGCGTGTGCTTGTTTGTGGCACACCTTTCAGGCACTCTGCTACAACTCCTGCTTTGGAGAGTTAATGGTCTGTTATTTGTACAGCATGGACAGGGCTCTGACAGCACAGAATTCTGGGATTAATCCTCCTTTGCTCACACGGTTCTGTGCTGCCTGGAAAAAATGGCCTTTAATCATTTAATAGTTTGGCTCTTGTGAGCAGATCCACCAATTACACGGATCTGGAATTCAGAATAGTATAAAACAAATATTCCTATGTAAAGGAATATTGGCTTTATTATTTTAGTTATGGGAATTATTAAATTCCTATAACTAAAGAGAGCATTCCTCTGCAAGCCAGTCTTGGGTTTGTACCTTCTAGAGTTCAGATTCCCCTTTTCTCAAAGGGATAAGTGAAAATAAATGTTTAGCTTGCCATGTAAATCAAAAACAAATAGACAAAAAAAGTTCCTTCAAATTTCACAGACACTTTCATGCCTGAGCAGTCACTGCAAGAGTGTATCCTGCTTAGTCTGTAGCCTTCTTTTGCCAGGACTGAATGCAGCAGCTTTCCTGATCTACCACTACTATCATTAACTCAAACAACTGACATTGTCTTAAAAGACTTCTCATTTTCTCCACATTTTAGAAAAGAAATTCTTTAAGAGTTTAATCAGCTCTATTGCAGAACTTCTCATGGCACAATTGATAATAAAATGAAACAGAAATTGCAACAAAATTAATGCTCCTTCACATTTTTGTATTTTCAGGCAGACTTTTTTCCTCCTAAAAGTCATACGTATTTGTACGAGCAACAACTGAAAACTGTTAAACTTCAGTTATCATGTTACCAAAACATGGCTTCCAAAAGAAAAACCAAAACACCTCCCTCTCCCTCACCCGAGATTCTGCCACACTGCCAGGGCTTCACAGCGCTTGAATTCAACATACGCAGCTACAAGACACACACCTTCTAACTCTCCCAAGGCTGAGATTCCTACACAGGCTTTTAACTACAGCAGATGCAGCTGGCCAAAAAGAAAACACATTCCAGTAACACGAATCAGAGCTTGAAAGTCTGCTTTAAAGAAAAGTCTGCTACCAAGCCCGGTGAGAAAAAAAAAACAAACCACAAAGCAACACCTTGGGGGAAGTGGAAGGCGAGGCCGCACCTTGAATCCTGTGTTCAGCTCTGGGGCCCCTCACTACAAGAGAGACACTGAGGTGCTGGAGCAGGGCCAGAGAAGGGCAACAGTGCTGGTGCAGGGCCTGGAGCACAAGTGTGATGGGGAACGGCTGAGGGATGTGCTCATCAGTGGGGAAGAGAAGGCTCAGGGGGACCTGATCGCTCCCTACAACTGCCTGACAGGAGGATGGAGCCAGGAGGGGCTGGGCTCTGCTCCCAAGGAACAAGGGATGGGACAAGAGGAAACGGCCTCAAGCTGCACCAGGGCAGGTTTAGATGGAGCTGAGGAACAATTCCTTCCCCAGAGGGTGCTCAGGCATTGGAACAGGCTGCCCAGGGCAGGGCTGGAGTCACCGTCCCTGCAAGTGTTCACACACCGTGGAGACGAGGCCCTCAGAGATAGGGCTAACCTCAGGGTTACTGGTGGCCTTGGCAGTGCTGAGGAACGGTTGGACTCGTGCTCTTTTCCAATCGAGCTGATTTTATGATTCTGTGATTCTATGATTTTTACTCCTCAACGGAAAAACACTCGTTCTCCACCTTGTCTTGCCGCAGGGCAGTAGGAGACGCCCCAGAAGATCACGCTAAACAGGAACACAGGGATTCCCCCAGGGAGGGGCGCAAGGCCTGCCTCAACTCGGGGCTCCAGCCCAGACTCCTCGCGTCAAGCCCGGACGAGCCGGCCCAGGCCAGGCCTCGCCGTGACCGCACTATCTCACAACGAGGCACTTACCGAGCCCCAGAACCGGGATGCTGCAGCCGTTAGCGAGCGGCAGCACGGGACATTTCAGCTCCGCCGCAGCCATACTTCCCCGCCCCGGGGACTACAACTCCCGGCAACCCTTGCGGCCGCACAGCGTCGCAAAGTACCGCAAAGCGTGACGGGAGCGTGGCTTCTGGCGGCGGGCGGGAGGCAGGCAGGTGGGAAATGGGTGTCGGGTTCGGGGCTGTGTGTGTATGTGTGTATGTATGTATGTATGTATGTATGTATGTATGTGTATGTCGAGGCTGTATGAGTAGGGGCCCTCCCGGGGCTGTGTGTGTGGTGGGGTGGGCCTGCCCTGCTGTCAAGAGGCGGGTGGCAGGAGCGGGGAGATGTGCAGGGAGCTGTCTCTGGCGTGGTGGGGCTGATGTCGGTTTCCCTCCTGTGACAGGTGGTGGTGTTGACGGCGACCCTGGGCCCGGCGGCTGTAGCGACCTCCCGAAGCATGTTGTACCTGGTCGGGCTGGGCTTGGGAGATGCCAAGGACATCACGGTGAAGGGTCTGGAGGCGGTGAGACAGTGCCACAGGGTGTACCTGGAGGCCTACACGTCCAACCTCACGGTGGGCAAGGAAGCACTGGTAGGTTTGGCCGCTGCTGGCCCACAGGGCCTACCACCTTTCCTGCCAAGGAGAGTGTTAGGTCAGTAATGTCAGCAGGAGAAACTGGTGGCGTGTGATCTCCAAAAAGGTATGTACGTGACTTTCACGTGCTGCCAATAGTATCCTGGGGTGCATCGGAAGGAGTGTGGCAGAAGGTCAGGGAGACGATCCCCCCCTCTGCTGACCCTGGTGAGCCCACATCTGGAGCACTGTGTCCAGTGCTGGGCTTCTCAGTATAAGAGAGACAAGGAGCTACTGGAGAGGGTCCAGCGGAGGCAACAAGGATGCCCAGGGGTGTGAAGCATCGTTTTTACAAGGAGAGATTGTGGGTGCTGGAACTGGTTATCCTGGAGAAGAGCAGCCTGAGAGGGGATCTCATCAATGCAGATCAATAGCTCAAAGGCAGGTGCCAGGAGGATGGGTCTAGACTCTTCACAGTGGTGCCCAGCGACAGGACAAAGAACAATAAACTGAAACACAAACATGGAGAAGAGCTTCTTTCTATTGAGGGTGACAGAGCCCTGGAACGGGCTGCCCAAGGAGTTGTGGAGTCTCCCTCTGGAGGCATCCAAAACACACCTGGACACGTTTCTGTGTGCCCTGCTCTGGGTGGTCCTGCCTTGGCAGGGAGTTGTACTGGGTGATCTCCAAAGGGCCCTTCTGACCCTAGTGATTTTGTGAGTCTGTATTTTCATAGGAGAAATTGTTTTGCTACATTGTGAGAAGACTGGAATGGAAAAAAAACTTTCCTTCCTACAGGTATTGATGCTAGTTTTCATCTCAGATTCTAACAGTATATGGAGATCTGACTGAACTTGGTTAGAAAAAAGTCTGATCTGTTTAAAAACAAACAAATCAAAAGACATATCAGAAAAATACATGTTCTGAAGCCTTCAATCTCTTGATTCAGGCTGAGGTAATATGGCATGCCTGCTTGGCACAATAATTTGACTGTCTCACATGTCCGTGTTTCCTGGTGGGCCAAGCTGTCTCACCATTTTGAGACATGGAGAACACGCACAGTTCAGTCAGAGATATGCTGTTGAACAGCACGGAGATAAATTTTTTATTAGCAAACACACCTTATGGAAGAAAACAGTAGTAAACATGTACAAATTGTAAGTCTGATGGCTTCACTGGGAATGGAAAGGTACAGTTGAATGTTGAAATAATACCCAAACCAAGAGCTTACCTACCCACAGAACACAGATCTTGCCTCCAAAAACTGTGTAGTGCTATACAGAGATGCTGCCTGCGTCTTGGATGCTGTATAGCCATAGCAGAATCATAGAATCACACAATGGTTTGGTTTGGAAAGGACCTTCAGATCATCCAGTTCCAACCCCCTGCCATGGACAGGGACACCTCACACTAGACCATGTTGCCTAAGGCTCTGCCCAACCTGGCCTTGAACACTAATCCTGGAACTGTCTCACACTAGACCATGTTGCTCCAAGCCCCTTCCCAGCTGGCCTTGAACACTGCCAGGGATGGGGCAGCCACAGCTTCTCTGGGCACCCTATGCCAGCACCTTAGCACCTTCACAGGGAAGAGCTTCTGCCTTAGATCTAACCTGAACTTCCCCTTTTTCAGTGTGAACCCATCACCCCTTGTCCTGTCGCTGCAGTCCCTGATGCAGAGTCCCTCTCCAGCATCTTTGGAGCCCCCTTCAGACGCTGGAAGCTGCTCTGAGGTCTCCACGCAGCTTCTCTTCTCCAGGCTGAACAGCCCCACTGTTCTCAGCCTGTCTTCATACGGAAGGTGCTCCAGCCCCTGCTCATCCTCGTGGCCTCCTCTGGACTTTCTCCAGTAGCTCCATGTCCTTATGCTGGGGCCACCAGAACTGTACACAGTGCTGTAAGTGTGGTCTCACAAGAGCAGAGCAGAGGGGCAGGATCACCTCCCTTGACTGCTGCTCATGCTCCTGTTGATGCAGCCCAGCACACGGGTGGTTTCTGGGCTGCAAGCACACACTGAAGCCAGTTCATGTTCATTTTCTCATCAGTCAACACCCCCAAGTCCTTCACAGGGCTGCTCTGAATCTCTGCCCATGTACGTGTATGTGCATACAGCATGTGAGATTTTAGCATGTAGTCAGCATGATGTGGTTTTCAGACACAAGCGTAGGCTAGAACATTTGCGGCTATCTCTGGCCTATCTGCTGTATTTTGAAATGAAGATATACTCCATATTTCAGGCTTGGGTTTGGGGTTTTTTCAGTACACTTAATCTGAATTGAAATTAATCCATTCAAAACAAAATGTTTTTTTTATTGTTGGATAGTTGGAAAATCGCATTCGGGTGTTTTTACTTTGCAAAATCTGCATTAGCCATTAAAAATTGGATTCCTAGCCAGCTGAAAATAAGACATCGAATAATAGAAAAATGCTGGGTATTTTTGGTGTGGTTATTTTGGGCATTTGGTTTGGTTTTTATTAAGTCTTTTGGAAGCCTTGGAGTCCCAAAGATGAGGTAATTGGGAAAAGTGATCAATAAAAACAAAGTGAAAGATGCCATCTTAACCTGAAACTGCCCAAGAGGGAACGTAGAAAGTAACTACGAAGCCCAGTTTCCATACGAGTGACAATTCTGGATGGTTTATTTAGTAATCTGAAGCTCAGCCTCTCTTAAGCACCATGAAAAGTTATGGGAAAGCTCTCAAGAGATAAAGAACAGATTCTTTTCTGCATGGATTTCTAGAAATCTTCCTGTGTTGATGCTTTTAAAACCAGATCTTAAAATTCCAGTGACATGACTTGCCTAGTTTATCCTGTTGACCTGAAACACATGTTAAAGGCTGCTTGATGTTGACCATCTAAATCAGACCTCAGTTTGGCAGAAGAACTGTTTGGAGCCTGTGACCTCCCAGTGGGTCTGCACCTTATTTTTTGTCAGGAGAGTGCTTTTTATGTATTCTGTAATGAATGTGCTTTGATTCACATTGTAGAGCAGTCTCAAAGCATGTAAATAGATTCCATTTTTGACACAGGTAGAGAAACTTATGCAAAAATGGTGAGGAAGTCATCTTTAGAAAGGGGAAGCAAACCCAGTAACAGACCCATATCTAGTACTCAGTATGGGATGGATTATTTCATGGAAGCAGTGCTCTGCTTCTCTACAAGTATGATGGTTCTCTTGTCAATTCATTATTCTTTGCGAGCAAAGATGAAGCTATCACTGAAATCACAGGGACTGTCAATTTGTTAATATTTGTCATACCACTCAAGTTTTCTGAATGCTATTTAGAACAAAACCACGTTTGTTGATCTGTGCCCTGGAGCAAACCTTTATCTAATCATGTAAAGAGCATGTGAAATGTATAGTGGTACATAACTTAAAGACATATATGTTCAGGTAACATGTTCTAGAACTAACTGAGGTTTTATTACACATGTGAGGTTGATTCTGGAAATAAAGGCATTAAAAACATACAAAAAGACACAATAATTACTGAGCTGCTAAAGAAAAGCAAAGGACGTGATCAAATACATGTTTACTTATATGCATAGTAAAGTATTTCTTCCAAAGAACTGCAGATGAAGAACTAATACAAAATCACTCCTTAGATGTGGTTAGCTACAATGTACTAGGGATAATCAAAACCACCTATGTTGTGGTATAGCTAATGTCGTATTTGCCTATGGTTTGATGTCAGCGTTACAATTAACCTAAGCACTTAGACTCAGTCTTGTGAGAGAGGATGCCTTGCAGTAGGATGACCAGTTAAATTGAGTCCACCCAGGTACCTTTGTTATGAAGATGTCATTGAGCTACATTTGGAGCAGCTCCTCAACTGACACAAAAGGCATAAAACTCCAAGTCAGTATCAGAATAACAAGCTTGACTAATTTTGGGCAATTTTGGAGCTACTTTATGGGAAGCTCAGGTGTTCTTGCAAGGGAAGGAAGGTTTCTCTTAAGACATGGGTCAGACTGCTGGGGAGAATAATAAAGTTGGCCTTTCCAGTGTCTATTGGCTGTGTTCCTAAGTGTCTAATTTTGCTGTTTCTTATTAATTTCAATTTCTAGGAAGAGTTTTATGGAAAAGAATTGATTTTGGCTGACAGAGAAACAGTGGAACAAGAAGCAGATAACATTTTAAAAGACGCTGATGTTTGTGATGTCGCATTTCTTGTAGTTGGTGATCCTTTTGGGTAAGACAAAGCAACATTTGAAATACTGCTGTAGCTTGGTCATTCTCTTTTTCAATAGGAAGGAGCCATACTGCATAATTGTAATTGTTCATGAAGAAGCTGATTTTCAGACCGGAAGCATGTTTTATTGCATTAAAAATATACATGCAATTGTCCACACTTTATATTGCTTTGGAGTTTCCTTGCCCAGATATTCCTTATGGCTAAGAATGGGCACCCTCTAGGATGTATGATTCATTCCTTCAGCAGTAACTTATTTCATTCTTCATGCTAGCTTCTATAGAGAATATTTTTGTTCCTTGATTTATCTACTAACACAAGAAATTCTAGGATATCACATAAAGAAATCTGCTCTGTTTTGAGAGAGTATTCTTTTAGTTGCTCTTTGTACTTATAAATGTGGCTTTCACGCTCAGTTGCTTTAGAATGAATACTGATTGTTGGTTGTACAGTGCTTCTGCTTTGATATATGCTCGTTTTTAAAATCACGTAGGTTGTTCAATGTGTCTTCTCCTTTTGGTTTATTAAGCCTTTTGTTTCCACTTTTTATTCCTGCTGAAAAGTAGAGTCGTTTTCTATCACCAGAAGGATCTCCTTCTGTCTTTGCAGTCAGGCATCATCAATCTATAAATGTCAAGCTATACAGAAGAGCTTTTAGTCTCCAGCTGGTGATTCAAGATTTATACTGCAGTGTTAAGGGGCACAAGAAAAATCAAATCACTGAGCAGCCCATTTGTGAGTGAAAAAGTAGAGTTTATGAAAAAGAGGAGTAATGTGCGCATCTGTCAAAAGCAGGTGATTTATGTAAATACAAGTTGAAGGGAATTGGCAAGAAATATGATATTAAACTAGTACTTATGGGCGAATGATGCTGTGTTTCAGGAATATTAATTATATTTTCAACACATGTTAACATGAAAACTAGAATTCACGTAAAGTGTAGAGCCAGATTACCTATACCCTTGTACTCTGATCCAGTGACTGACATAAGTACACAAGATGAAAGAAACAAACCATATGTATTGAAATGAAATGGCTGCTTGTAAACAGTATCTTGATCTGCCTCATATCATTAGTTTCAGTGTCAAAATCCTTCAATTCTGACTAATATACTGCATCATTGTGGAAAACTATTCTTTTTTAAATGAGTTGCTTCTGTCTAAATGTTTATGTTCTTAATATTGCAGCTAGAACTCCTGTGCCCTCACAGAGCCCTAAGGATTTAGGGGTTCATGAGGTTACTAGGAAAGAGTACTGAATGTTTCTGTCCTAAGAGAAGCCACATGGGAGTAGGATTGAAGCCATGTGACTGCAGCTGATCGTAGAGTTTCAAGTATGTTTGCAGGTCAGAAGAGTGTTTAGTCTTAGGAAAGCTCAGGTTTTGGTGGTCAGTAGTTCAGGTGATAAAACAAGCTGTACCCCTGCCATTGTTCTTACTGTTGTTCACTCTGTATATGTGGTAACAGCTATGGATGTGCTAGCAGAAACCTGACAAGTTTAGTAGCATACAGGCAAGCGCACCTTCATCTAGCCTAGTGCTGACATTCGTATTATTACTATCCATAACACTTAAAGTCTGTACTGGTGACAGAAAATCCTAGTAAAGCTCTGGATGCAGAGAGCTGACTTCTTGAAGCCTTTGCTAGTACTAGCCAAGTACTCACAAATGCACTGCTGCTTTCAGCTGCCATCATTATGGGCAGATCTATTGGGAGAATATACTGGCTGGAGCAAATTTCAGTGAATAAAGCCAGCTGACCCGTTGGCCAGTATTAGCATAACCACAAAATCCTCCAGTGCTCCTTGTCCTGTGTGTGTGAAGGGAATAATACAAGACTTTAAAACTAGTCCCCTCTTCTCTCAGAGTAGGCATTCCTAAACTAAGTTTGTTTCTCGAAGTCAGGAACTCAGTCAGTCTACTAACCGAAGTGTTGTTTTAGATCACTTTACTGCATTCTTCTATGCCTGGAAGCCTGCGTGTATCACGGTCTCCAGTTTCCCAAATTCAGATTCCTTCATTTTTTCCTTCAGTGAAATTCTGTTTTAAGTGATTTCAAGGCCAGGTGGGACAGGGCTTGGAGCAATCTGACCTAGTGGAAGGTGTCCCTGCCCATGGCAGGGGTTGGGACTGGATGAGCAGTTGGACCTTAGGTCCCTTCCAACCCAAAACATTCTATGATTCTATGATTGATCTTTACAGCCTTCTAGCTGCTGTCACATTTGTGTTCCAGCCTGAAGCACCTGATCTGATTGGTGGAGTCAGGCATGCGGTGTCAAAACTTATCAGACTAAAAATCAGGAGAATTCTGTCAGGGTAACTGAATGAGGCCAGGGTGAAAGCAGTCTTCCTATTTATTTATTCTGGTTTCTTTCTTTGTTTCCTTCTTTGTAATGGCCACACAGAAGTCTGTAGTACATCCTGGCAATGAGATGGCTAAGGTCACTTTTAGGTTTGATAAATTTAGCCAAGTGCATTTCCATGTATTACAGGGAAAATGGAGTGCCTAGCATGTATGTAAGCATACATTCAAGCAAGATACATAAGTAAACACTGTTGCAGTTCAAAGATGTGAGATTTACCATCTCAGAAGGACTCTAATCCCAACTGCGTTAACTTCAAGCCCAGGAATTCTTGCAGCAGTCACTGCAAGGTGTTTATTAGGCATTAGACCTGGAGCCCAATTTAGCTCATTTCTAAGCTTAATTAGAAGTTTCTTAATTGTTACAGAAAAACTTGAGCACTCAAACTTGGGCATCGGTAATTTGAGTAATTTGGCTTAAATGTCATAAAAGTCAATTTAGTCTAAGGATGTCTTAAGTAGTGCATGCAATTTACCTCAGTTCAAAGCTCTATTTGAGTGTGTTGCTTTCCTGGCATGCACTGGTGCAGATGGGAGAAGGCCTGGCTCTACCCTGAGTAAGGAAATACTGGACTTGTGCTGAAGTCTATGCCAAATAGAGTTGACCTTTACAGTTCAACAGATGTCCAGCAGACACCTGCAGAAGACAAAGCGTAAATGGAACTTTTCCTTTTCAAATCCTTGCCAAAGCTACTTTAAAAAGTAACAATTGTGTTGGTGTTAAGAGTTTTAATGATGCCAGAAATCTGCAAAGAACCATAACATATTAAGCACACCTGTATTTTCAGCTAGGGAAGATGACATATGGATGCCTTACTGGAGTTTTTACTTTCCAATTACAATTAGTCATGTTATTGTTGCCCTTTTGGCACCTCTGCATTGCCCTGGTTGTGAAGGGTTTAATTTTACTTTGAAAACAAACTATAATGCTAGTAACACTTGATCACTTCGTCTTTTCAGTTTTTAACTCCTTTATTTTTCTAACACAGGGCCACAACACACAGTGATTTAGTACTACGTGCAGTAAAACTGGGGATTCCATACAAGGTCATTCATAACGCTTCAATAATGAGTGCAGTGGGCTGCTGTGGTTTACAGGTAACATTTTTACAGATATGCTATTCCACAAGTGCTAAACTGAAAACTGGTGAGCTCTTCTGCTGCTGTGGGAATGCATGTTGCAGTCTGAAGCTTGAAGATCTGGAGGAACTGTACACTTCTGTTGTCAGAATTTGTTAACACTTCCTTTTCAGTGTGCTGCACATGAGCAGAAGTCCCTTTTGATGAGCGCATGTGTAAATGAATAGTGACACTTCTATTCTGCTCTGCTCTCTAACTTCCCTCTGCCCCAGGAGACTTTAATATCTAAGTTATTTTACAGATAAGGCTTTGCTCTTGTTGGCTTCCTTCTGCTACTGATGGTCACCTGATAAGTTTAGTTTTAAATTAGGTTGTTATCCTGTTGAGAGATACACTGGTCTTGTCATGAAAGGAATATGTGCAGAAGCCTGTCTGTGTGCTCAACTCAGATCACAACTGATTCCAAAATCTATGTGATGCATTCATTTTCTCCAAGGTTGACCTGTCTTCACTTTTATGCCCATCTGCTGAGAGAGGAGAGGTTTGCCTACCCAAGGACTAGAAGAATAAGTGATAGGTTTTGTGCTTCTTGAATGGCCAAAGTAGAAAAGATCTGGTGTTCCCCAAGAAAATACTTCAAACTATTTCCTTTTACACATATATAGGTCCATTATTCCTCCTCCAGCATGAAAAACGTTATGGCAGTGTATGTATCACAACTTATAAATTACTTGAAGCTTCCTCCTTTTTTCATTCATTATTTTAACATAGAACCTGCCCTCTTAAGGTTCAGAATGATTCCCTGTGTATGGGAACCGCTAAACCCAAGCTCCTGTTTCACCAAAACTGAAGGCAAGCACAGGAATGTAGGTGTACCACAGACAAGAGCTGAGGCTTTGAATAACAGGTTTTCATCACTGAAGGAGGAAATACTCCTTCGTAGCATAACATAAAAGAATACCATTCTCTTTAATTTCAACAAAGTACTGACACCTTCAAGTTTACAGTGACAATCTCCTTATCTCAGTGCTGCCCAGCAGCAGAAAGTCTGTTGCAGTAAGTTGGGTATTATCTCTGACTTTGTTCACATTTGAATGGTTTAGAAATGGGAGAGCCCTGTGTGATCTGGCAGTGCAGCAAAACTGCCTTGACACCTCTTCTGAGCTGTGAGTGCTAATGCTGAAGGGAATGCAGCACAGGATTCACATTATTTATCATTCTTTCTGTGAGCACTTCTTTAGTGATACCTGCCTGTTGCTGTAAGACTTGGGTAAAATTATCTTTAAGGAAGGAAATAGGCTCCTTGGTGTCTAAAATCTACAAGTACAGCAGACAGATGGCAGCTGCTACATGACTGCACTTACTGGGGTGGGTAACATGGGTCTTGGGGCTGGGGCTTACCCTTTCCACTTTTAGCTTCAAGGTGGTGCAAAGTTTGCTTGTGCTGTCAAGCTGCTGACAAGTAGTTTCTACTACCTGCTATCTTTTCACTGTTCTTTTATTTTGTTAGGAAGGAAGGCACAAGGCTTGTGCTCCCAATGAGAACAGGTGACTAGGGTTTCTGAAAACCTGCTTCCCCCACAACCCCAGCTAGGCATAGGAAAGAGGAGTACAGAACTCTGAGGTGAATTAAAAACCAAAAAGAGCAGAAAACTAGCTGGGACTATACTGCAAACAGTCTATAAGGTTTGTCACATAGGCAGTTTTGGAGGTTAGCTTACTATTTCCTTGTCCCATGCTGAAGAGAACAGTCCGTGAAGGAAACGTGATGTTATTCACTCTGGCATTGGTCCCCTTTTCCATTCTGGCTTGGGAGGGGCTGCCTTCCCATAAGTCAACATTCCTGTTGTTGTATAAAGCATTTTAGGAAATGGTGATCATATTGTGTTACCAGACAGACTATAACCAGCTGGATGTTAACTCTTCATTGCTCCTTACAGGCATAAACAGCAAGTGAGGGGTCTCTTACTAAAAAGCAGCCTGTGATTTGATTAGAGCTGTGGGGGAAGTTCATAATTTTTTCCAGCAGTCTTTACATTCATGGCTGTCTCCTGCCATCAGTTTAGTTTTGGAGCTGCTGTGGTTTAAATTGCAAACTTGCTGTCAAGTATAGCAGGGATTCCTCTTTTGCTTCACCACAGAAAAGGCTGGGCTTTTTTTCTTGTGTTAATCTGATTGTAATACAAAACCTCTTTCTTTCTTACTGGAGAAAAACAGGAAACACCTTTATACGTTGTTGTGAAAGCCACGTGTGTAGTGAGCTGTAGCTGCTGATTAGGCCTCAGTAAAATGCAGCTACAGCCCAGTGCCCAGTCTGTTCACAAAAGAACATGTCTCTTGTCATCAAAGCAACGTTTCTGTGCAGCCAACAACATTCTGGTAGTTGTGCTGTTTTCCTGAACAGCAGTGAGTTACTGGAGTCGTTAGTGATGGTTTGTCACTTTCCTAGATCTATTTCTTGTCAAACTGTAGAGAAAGGTGAAAATCTATTTTCAAATGCTTTTTTTTACTGTTTTGCCCATTTGACGGACTCAGCTTGGAAGGCTGCACAGGTGAAGAGTGTATTAGTACAAAGAGCAAGTGTTTTTCTTCTAACTTTGAAAATTAAACTCTTCTAGGAAGCTCTCACAGGTTGATACCATGAGCTGTAGTTATTGAAAGCAGAGGATAGTATAACTTAGCAAAGTATTAGTGCAATTGGGCATAAGGCTCTATGACTTGCTGTGGCTCTTTCTTTTAGGCTGTTCTCACTGTACTTTCACTGTGTCAGGCTGAAGAACATAATTACCCTCAAAATCAAATTAATATGGCTGGAATGGTAAGAGAAACCAGGAAAAGTGCCTGTGCATGAGCACCTCTTAACATGTGCTCTGCAGGTTCACCTCTCTTGATTGGTATCTGAATTGTAGGTATGTTGATCACTCTGACTCCTGTTGTAGTAGAGAACAACTACCAGTGAAGAAATTCATGCAGTTTGTGCATACTGCCATGGAAGTCAAGGAGAGAGGACAGACATTCTCAGAGACCACTTCTAGTGGATGGTAACTAGTGAGGCAGTTCAGCTTTCCTCACCAGCAGCTGCACTGAAGTTCCAGAGCTTTGGAAAGCTTAGTATTTTACTACAGTAAACTGTAGTTTACTACAGTTAACTATAGTTACTATCACTACTCAGCTACCTTGTGAACAAGACATTGCTATTTAACTAGGATTCAGCATTGCAAGCTGAGAATAAAGGGAGAGCCCAGCCCTACTTCCATGGCTTTATCTGTACCCACACTCAGTCCTTCAGAATAGGGCTGATTGCTGAGGCTTTTAGCTCTAGAATAAAGAGGCAGAAAACTCAGAATCTCAAATTTACCCCTTTTTCCTTCCTTCCTTCCTAATCTGGGTTACTTTGGGAAGGTCAGCAGAGTGGTGCTGTCAGGACTGAATTCTCTCTGACCCAGTTCTGGTAGTGCGTCTTTGAGGGAGGTCAGACATGTGAGAAAGACTCTGCATCACACTGACCTGTGTGAACAACACAACTCAAAATGGATTGAGATAATGGCATTACTGTTAAAAAAAGGTGATAGAGAACTAAAGTGCAAAGCTAGAGGCAAGCCGTAGGATTGGAGCCACATAGGAGCCACTCATTTCTGAGAGAGTGGTGTTGCTAGTTTTAAAAGCATTTACTTTCTATTTTGGTAGGGGAGCTACCCCATGTCACGGCAGAGACCTGCCTCTCTTTTGAGACATACCCACTTTCCACCTGAATAGCTTCAGAACAAACATCTGCGTGTCCCCTTGTGTCTGTCAGTCACTCAGCTCGATTTTTTTGTGTTTGGAGGCCAGCTCATTCTGGTAAGATTTACAGTTAGCAAATAGTTTTGTCTTTTCACTACTAGCTGATCACTGAAATATGAAAGCAGTGCTCACTGTGGGGGGTTTGAGTGTTTACTGAACAGGTGAGCACATTTGCAGCAGCAAGTAGAATACTATTACATACAGGTTAGGAAGTTGAAGGATGTTATCATTACTCACTGAGCTTACAGTCAAATAGAAAACCTGTAGTAGCTGCAGCAGCGGAACCTTTGAGTTCCACCCTCTCTCTGTGCCCTCATCTTCAAAAATACTCTTTGCTGTGATGGGAGGGGCTCTGTGCAAAATGTTTTTTATCCAGCACCAGTTAAAACAAACTGTTTCCCATCATTGGTCGGGTTTCTCACTTACTGCCAGCTTCTGAGCCTTTTAGAAGTTGTTTCTCAAGCCATTTAAAGGTTAAATCAGTACTCATCACACTATTTCATTGCTCACAATTGCTGTACAACTCAGTGCCATTTGTCACCAGGAAACATGACCCAGAAATATTCATTTGATCAGAATAATTCTTTTTCTCCATTTAGAGAACTCTTTCAGATTAGTAATCCAAGTGACCAGAGTGGGAAGGAATCATTGTTTGACATTGCTGGGAAGAGTCTTCGGAGGTTATTAAAGATAAGGTGACATTACCTTGGAGGGAAAATCCTGTCCTGTTCAATTTTGTTTGGAGTTTCTGAGTCTTTGACAGCTGAATTTTGTTCTGCTTGTGGAGTGGCTGTTTCCTAAGTGCTGATACAGGAGGCAGCCAAGAGAAAAATGGGTTCTTCCCTTCAGCTGCTTTTATGTGATTTGTCTCAGCTGCCTCCTGAAGACTGCAATCATGTGGAGTGGGCTTCCCTCACCCAGACATTCTTGTCTTCACAGTCCCTTTCTCTCTGGCATGTACTACGGGGACTGGAGGTTTTTGGACAGCTGAGCCAACCTGTTGGCTTGCAGTACAAAAATGAGTCAGAGCCCCTTGTGTGTGAATGGTAAAGATTTCGAATTTCATGTGAAGGTTCTCATGAGAGGCATTAAAAGTTGCTAAAGGTCTGTGGTTCTAAGTGAGATAGTGGTAAAGAGCTAGAGCTAAGCTTGTGGTTGTTTCATATGACCAATTACAAGCCAAAATGAAGCTTGACTGATTCTTGGTACTTCTTTGTTGATGATTGTCCAACTTCCTAAGCTGTTCTCTGTCAATAATATATAAATTAAAAAACAATAGGAGCACTTTAATCTGATGTATATGGTCCGGAGGGTTGTTAACTGGTTACAGAAGGCAAGGGGAAAAATCTGGCTTATTAGGTTCCTTTTTATGCAGATAGATGTTGCACAGCATCATGTCAAAACTTACGACAAGGATAAACACAACATGTCTTAGCTTTTCTTTGTATGTGCACTGAGACTGATCAGGAAACAACCTGGGATAATGCAGGGTGCTGTCTGGTCCCCAAATTCCATTGAGGAGCAGCCTCAGGAGAAAAAAACCTGGTGGTATCTGTCAATGGGATGTCGTAAGGCTGTGCAGTCCTGTGAGACCTGTCTGCAGTGTAACCTGGGACCATCTCAACACAGCAGCCAAGGAGAGGTTCAGTCTACAGAGTTTACACCTATTGCATGTGTATCTAGGTGCCAGGTCCACAAAGTGTCACAAGACTCCTTTTTACCTTCTTCCCCTGACATATATCTAGTTCTGAAGCTGTTTGAAATGTTAGGAAAGGCGGTAGGCTTGGAAGTGAAGAACTGCTTTGTCACCATTGCAGCTGATACAGCAATAATTCTGGGAAAGATGCTGTAAAAATAAATGTCTGTGTTTTGAAATGTTTACTTCTTGGTTTCCCTGCAGCTGTTGCCTTATTGACCCTTTTACTACTATCTTGCATCTTCTCTGCTGCTTGCTTTAGTACTTTCTAGAGGGGATAGGAGATCTTCCTTTTTTAATTTCCCTGTTTAGTCTCAGCTTGTTCCTTCTTTTTACAGCCTATATTTTTGTGGTGATGAGCCACAAAAGAAGTGGCTAAGTGGCTATTTTAAGTGAAAACTGTTGATCTGGACAGCTTCAGGTGTCTGTTGTCATTCAGACTGGCCATTTACAAAGTTGTTGGGTAGTTTCAGTGACATTTCACTTGTATGCAGGCTTTCCAAGCAGAGATCGTGGGACAGCTCTTTCTCTTTCATAGATGATTCTGCCCTCTCAATTGATTCTGCTTATATAAACAAGTAGCGTATGAAATATCATTAACTGAAAACAGGCACCCCAGGACCAAAATCTGTCAGATTTTCATAATATGTGTGTAAATAGAACAGGATGTTAGAGAATGTTCAGAGGTGATGAAAGTGTGAGTCGAAGAACAGCTTTCTGCAGTATTTGGTGAGCGGGCAGAGCATTGCCTCCGAGTGGAGAGGCCTGGCCTCCCTTCCTGCCTTCAACTCTTGCATTGCAAAACTGAAGTGCACAAAGCTTTGTGGAAGCCAATTACTGGGGGGAGGAGTATTTCCAAAGACTGAGGTCTTTCAAAATGACCTTTTGAAATGTTTCCGTGAAGGTTTTGAGCGCTGAGCAGAAGGTAAGGAGGTTTCCAAGCTGAGAACACGGAACGTCTGCCCAAGCATTTCACTGAGCCCCCTTTGAAATTCTGGCTCTTTTGTGCCCGAGCAGAATGGAGGCACTCGAACAAATGTGATGATTAGTGCAAGTGTGATGCTTGAGATGTTTTAGCTTGTACAGAGCACATCTTGTCCACTCCTAAAGCCCAGCTGCTTCATGTAGAGTGCAACACACAGAAACTGCATTTGCTGTCGCCTCTCTTTAAAGCTTTGCCAGCAACCATACAGCACAATCCTTTCACTGAAAATACACAGAGCTCTTCACTGGCTTATTAAACTCAATCTCAGATCATGACATGAATCCTCAGTGTGCTCTAATACACCTTGGTTAACGAATTGTCACAATTTTAGTCCAGTGACAAGCATAATTTCTTTAATTTTGGGGCCCTATTGAGTCTTACATGGTTGGTGGAAAGAACCCTTTGCTTTCAGTGGATTCTGGTTCTAGTGGACCTGCTGTCCCCTGTGACTGCTGGATCCTTATAGTGGAGTTTTGGGTACTCACTTCTCTCTCTGCAGCAAGGCTTTTCTTGAAAGTCTGATACTTTGTACTAGATTTCAAGAGGTAGAAATTTGAACAGAGCACAGGAAACTGAACAACAAAGTGAATCTACATGAGGTACAGGGAGAGAGTTCAAAAAGCAAGTTCTGATACAGTTATGTGTTGCTTCTTTAATGCAGGCTTGCTCTGGTGGGGGAGCAGTGCCTGTGTTTCCATAAATGCCACGTCTCTGCAGAGGTCAAATGCTGAAAGGAAAGAAAAGAAAGAAATACTTGTTTGTGTCTGTAGGAGTGCTTGTAAGGTAACTGGTTACAGGTAGTCAAGCACAACAGGGGCATCCTTTTATTGCTTCACTTCCATAGCCTTTGTAGATTGCTGGTGTACCAGAGAGTTTAAAGAAGTGTCTTCCCCTCTTTAATTTAAAGTAGAAATATGTATGCAATAATGCTAGGAAATCTAATCTTTAGAAGTTAAGTTAATGTAAGTTGCAAAGGCATTTCTAGGAGGTTAATAAAGCATGCCCTGTTCCCTCTCGTTGGTGTAGAAGACACTTCTGTGCCTGTGCTGTCCAGGTGCTAAGAAAACAAGTGTATTGGTGTGAGACTGTAAGTACAGTTTTCTATGATCTCAATACTTCATGAAGCTATTTTGAAATGATTTCTACTGAATGGGCAGGCAATTTCTGACAAAAATGGTTTATTCTTTTTGACATTCAAACTTAATTCTTAATGCAAAACCTGGTGAACAAAGGACAGATTCAGTGAATCTGACTGTCAGTGCTTGCATAAAAAGGATAACTTGCTTAACTTCTTGTTGGCAAAGATGATGGAGAATCTCTGTAATGATCAATGGAAAAGAGAAAAATAACAATGAGAACAAGTGCTGGAGGATATAAAGCTGAATGCACGACTTGTTTTTAGTATGTGGCAGAACACTTGAAAAGATCTGATTCCTAACAAACTGCTTACCAGGTAATAACATTTTACCCGTTTCTGCACATCCTTTTCTTTGCTAAAAGCCAGAGGTGGAAGTTACCCTCTTTCAGGTTAACAAAATGCCAAAGGGACTGGGGTAAGATTCAAGTTTAATTCAGGCCACTTTCTGTACTGATGAGGGCTGCTGCTTTGGGGTGGCTTTCAGGTGGTAGTTAGGTTGATACTGGACATTTCAGCACTTGTTGGTTACTGTAGGTATACTGCCAATGAGATAAAACTGCTAGCTTTCTCCCAGATGCTGTAACAATGAAGGGGTGAAGGAGAAGCATCTTGTTAAATAGTTTTTTCTTCAGCTGTGGAACAAAATGGGAAGAGTTCTAGGCAGCCACCTGAAAACCAGGCAGAACATAGCTTGGTTATTATTCTAGACACAGCCTTGAAATAGTTAACAGGTTACATCGGGAACAATTCATTTTGTCCAACCTCTATTTAGTTTACTGGAAGAACCTTTAGGTTGTGAAATGTACGCTGTGTGTTCTTGTCCTTCTGCTAGAATGAAATGTTTAAAAGAGGAAATGTTTTCAGTAATATTCTAGGAACCTTTGAATAAACACTGTTCATCTCAGCATGAATGGTTCAAATTTGAGCTTTTGGGCCCTTGAAAACAAGCATGTTTCTGCTTTGATTTCAAACTTTTAAAGAGTTAAAACCACAACCTAGTACTGCAGGAAAGCGTGTAAAGGGGAACTCCCAGATGGGACAAAGCTGTCAGAGCAGCTTCTACATAGAGTCCTCTTTCTGCTCAGGGCAAACACAGTTTTTCCTGCCTGGTTTACAGAGCAAGTGGGGAGATGAGACCATTGCTTGAGCAGACAGAATACTGGCCAGCTGTACAATCAGTCTGGGCTTGCCCCATTCCAGAGCTGAATTCACCAGAACTGATGCATGGTTTTGCCCTTTTACAGGTTGGTTACAGAAGCTTCCAAGCCAAATGCTGCCTTAGGTTATGTATGACACTGGCTTCTGCATCACTGAAAATGATTGGCAAGACTGTTGCTTCATATGTTTTCACTGAGGTTAGGGATTTACAGAAATAAATAGTGTTAAGACTGAGAATAAAATCAATATGTTTGACAGAATATGATAGCAATATTATTCTTACCTGATATGCATGAAAAAACATTATACCTCTACTTCATGCATAATCTATCCCTGTCTTCAGATCTCCATATCCACTCCCTCTTCAGACTGTAACTTTTTTTGCATGATACAGCTTTCACCTGCAGAAAAGTGCTGGTTTAATACAACTGTATCAGTAGGATCTCAGTATTATTGCTTTATTAGAAGTTATCTAGCCTTAGCTGAGATAAGAAATGATAAGTAAGAATTTTGGTGCTAATCTTAACGAAGTTTTTGCCTTTAGGGGGATTTGAGAATGAACAAAGAATAGAAAGTAAATTGAAAGTTCACACACATTGGAAAGGTGAAAGCAGAGATAGGTAACAACTTCACAGGTGGTTCATTATCTGTTCTTTAACATGCTTTATTGTTTGGAGAGTAAAAGGACAACAGCACATCTCTGTTAGGAAGAAGAAAACCCAGTTCACTGATTACAGATGTTGTTACAAAGAAAGACGGGAATGCAAAGGAATGCACTAAAACTAGCCAAGAGATAGGCAGCTTTTTCCAAAGGTGTGCTATTTTTAGTGCTATGTTTTGCTGTGTGTCTGTGAAAGGGCAAGCATGAGTGTCTTATAGGAGAGCACTGTGCTATGAAACTCTTAACTAGGTTCAGGACTTTTCAGTGTTGCCAGTTGTTCATGGTTTTTATCTCATTTTATTGCATGCTCTTACGCTGTGTGTTACTGCTTTTGCTTTGTTTTGCAGTTGTACAGTTTTGGAGAGACTGTTTCCATAGTTTTCTGGACAGATACATGGAAGCCAGAAAGCTTTTTTGACAAGATTGAGAAGAACAGGCAGAACGGAATGCACACCTTGTGCTTACTTGGTAAGCAGCAGCTCCAAGGGTTCCTTAGCTACCATCTTCCACAGCATCCACAGACAGGAGTGATAGGCATGAGATGAAGTCTGGGATAAAACAAATCTTCTCAGCTAACATGCATGTTTGAAAATACACCAAAACTTGGAACATTGATGTGTGTGTCCTTAGTTCAGCCATTGTTCATGCTGCAGTGGTCAGGAATTTGTTCATTCCTTGTCAAAAAATCCCTAAGAAACAAAGCCCTTTTAGAAGTCACATAGGAGCAGGAGGCCCAGATTTGCTCTAAAAGTGACTGATTTTAAGCTAGATCTAGCTCAGGATCCAAGTCAGATTGCAGTGACTAGCAGCTCTCTCTTCATTAGGTTAGAGCTCAGCACATCTGACTTTCTGAGGAGCTAAACTGTACGTTTAACCACATTGGTGTTGTGTAAGGTGATAGTCTTTTTCCTGAATTCTTTTATCTGAGGATGTTTTGGGAAAGGTGACTGTCACATGAGAAGAAGCAGTGATGTAAAGCATCCTTGCCAGTCATGGAGCTGGAACTGAATACTGACCACTGGCACCAGGCTCTTCCGTGGTGCTGCCTGATCTTCAGCCTGCCCAGCAATTCTCAGCTCAAAGCCACTTTCTGAATAACTCTTCTAATCTGGGTAGCTCCTGAAAGATCATGGAATGCCAGACTGGTTTGGGTTGGAAAGGACCTTCAGACCATCCAGTTCCGACGCCCTGCTACAGGCAGGGACACCTCACACTAGACCATGTTGCCTAAGGCTCTGTCCAACCTGGCCTTGAGTACCGAGGAACTGCCTGCATATAAACTACAAGGCACTTACGTATTTATATATGTGCAATTCTATACCTTTTGTAGCATCTTTTAGACACATCTGGGATCTCTCAGTGCTAAATAAATTAGTATTTTAAGTAAAAACAGTCTGTAGTAACTGGAGAATCCTGAGCAGGAAAACAGTGTGCAAGCATCACTGCACACCAGATTCCCAATGCCATCAAAGTTGCTAAAATTGGCAAAAAATCAGAATTCTGGCAATTTGTTTTAAAGAAGGATGACTTTTGTCTTAACAAATGACTTTTTGGATGACCAGTGTTTAAACAAGGACTCTTAACAACTATAATATAGTAAACCCAAGTATTCTGTACATATTTGATATAATCAATTCTGTGATGTCCCTCTGTATGATTTTATACAGTAGTGTGAGAGTAAAAGTTTGAACTGATAAAACTGAATTGTAACCCATGTCCCATGTCATGGACAGTTGTGGTACCTGCATCTGATTGTAGCTCATACCTGAAAACTACCAATTTGCAAATAAATTGTTCCCTTAATACTACTTGGTCATTCGGGTCCATGTATTTATTGCTTGTCCAACTAGACTAGAGAAGCACATAAAAGGGGAAGTGCTGATAAGCTTTGGAATTCCAAGTGACTTGACAGTCACATAAACGATTCGGTAAACTGTTTTTACCCCCCTTTCTTCAGCATCACTGTGAGTTAGGAGTTGATTGTATAACTTAAGCAATACTTTTCTTTAAAATCAAGGTGAAAAAGGTATCCAGCTTTCACTGCGATAGTCTTTTGGGGGCATTTGAATACAGATGTTTGATTGTGTCTTGGACAGGCTGTGGTCAGTTAAGAGTTTCATACAGTTGCAGAGTCTAACCTGGCCCTTTCTCTGTTTTATTTTTGCCCAAATCCTTTTTTTCTTCCCATAACAGAAGCTTGTTCCGAGCGTTCATGGGGACAGGAAGTGCTAACGAAAGTCAGGTTGCTGCATGGCACTGATGTAATTGCTGTTGATCAGTCATCCTGTTCTACCTTTTGTGATCACAATGTACTCAGCGTTTACAAGTAGCTCCAGTACCATGGTGTGCTTCACCATGCTGGCATTTCACTATCCTGTAGCTTGCTATTTGAATACTTAGAAGTATTTGTATTCATCTGTGTTGCTGTGAGATCTGTGAAACTCACCCTATTTTGGGGTAAAATTACATGCATAAAATCCCAATACTTTGTGACTAATTAACATCTGAAACAGCAGAATGTTTAATCCGTATTCTTTGCTCCTGTAATAACTAAAATCCTGTTATAAAATTTATAGTAACTGCTCATTTAATTAAGCTTTACCTACACAGAAAAACTGAGTGAGGAGTTTGTAGGGGACCTGTGTTTTAATACCTGTTTTGCTCTACAGATATTAAAGTGAAGGAGCAGTCTCTGGAGAATCTAATGAAGTGAGTCACCTTTCTGAAAATGTATGGAAACACATTTGTAAGATACATAGAAAACAGTGTATTTATAAAGGAATGGAGGTTCTTTGTCCAGTACTGCACTTACCTGCCCTTCTGTTATCCTTCCCAGTGGCCACAGTCTTTTGTTTCTTACGAGCAGTGGAACTTTTCTGCTCAGAGCAATAGGACCTGGCTTTATTTACAGTAACTGAATGAAGCTATGGCAAAGCATCATCTTTTGAGCTGTTTCTGTGAGAAACATGAAGTCAGAACGGATTAAGCTTGGCAAATGAAGTGTTATTTCACTGTTCTGTCTCATCCTCAAATAGATGAATAGCTGAAACACTGTTTGGAATTCATTCTTCTTTACATTTGCCAGTAACAGTGTAAGGCATTGAATACATGCCACTCTTTTAAACAGCTAAATAAGCAATATATAGAAAATGCTCTCAAGTTCATGTAACTGTATTCAGGAGAGCTCTTGCCACATCTTAATCACCTCTCTGCAATCTTCTGTTTCAAAAGTGGTGAATACAAACAGTTACTTTATGCACATGCTGTAACTCTGCTCTAAATTAACATCTGTGAAGTCTCACAGTATCATTGAGGTTTGTTTATTCTGGAGTTTCAAAATGAAGGCTGTTTGACTGAAGCCACAGTTGGCAAAGAAAGCAGCATTTCATGTAAGAATGTATTCCTAGTCTGTAATCAGACAAACGTCCACAGGGCATTTGACAGAAAACCAGTACTTTGCCCTTGACTTAAAGTCTAATCCATCCTTCAGGAGCAGCTGCAAAACCTGCATATTGCTTCCAGCAGCTGAATTTGCTCACATCATTTGCCAGCTGGAGGCCCTTCTGTTTCATAGGTGTGAGAGCACAGAAGTCTCCTCCTGTCTTCCTTACAAATGCCTCTCGTCTGAAAGGCCCAGCCTGAGAGCCTGGGCCTAGGTAAGGTCCATTTGCTGGTCTAGAGGTTTCTTGAAATAAACTGTAAACACTAGGGATGATGAAGTGGGTTTTATGTGAAATTGCTCTACTTTTCTTTCCCTGCAGAGGAAGGAAGATTTATGAGCCACCACGGTACATGAGTGTGAATCAAGCTGCAGAACAGCTTCTTGCCATTATTCAAAACAGGAGGCTCCAAGGAGAAGAATTAGGTGCTGCTACTGCATTGTTTCTACCTGCTACTTATGCCTATCAAGTCACACTTAGTGATGAGCCTCCAAAGTCTGCTCCTTTCCTCTTCATCTTTGCATTGCTCTTGCTCCCTGGTAGAATTGGGCTGCCTTAAATCCTGGTCCTGAGATGGATATGGCAGAGCCTGGACATAGCGTAGTTCAGCAGAGATGAACAAGCTCCTGAAGGTTTAGTCCAAGCCTCAGCCTGGTGACCCTGGTTCTACCCATCTTTAACTGTGAGCTCTTTGATACATTACAGTTGCAGAAGGATTCTGAGCATTTTAGAGCAAGTGGGCTTCATAAAAAAAATCAGTGCTATGTTTAATCAGACAAGTCACACTCTGCACTACATGAGCACCAGCATGAACCCAGGTTAACCCTGCAATGCAGAACTGGGATTCTGACTTTTGAGTTCTTAACACTGGTCAAGCACAAACTGTGACTAGTGTTTATTGAGGCCAAGGGTGAAATCACAGCAGCTGTAAAGATGACTGCTGTGTCACAGAAAAGTTCTACGTTCCTCCTTTTTAGAAGTTTATTCCTTAAATGCTGTTAAAATGAAAATCCTTTTATCCTTCACATAGAAGGAATCAGGAACAGCAGTTTCCTCAAAGTGAACACAATTCCTGAATGAATTTCCTGTTCTACTTCTGTTGTCTTCCCCTTCTTGCTTATAAACATCCCTAAGATACAGCTTTATTTTCTTTGAAGCACAAACTTCTTTCTAGGCCTGTCTGGTGATTTATGAAATGGGGGTTTAAGAAAACAGCGTTAAGGGTTTAAGCATTTTGAGTACTTTTTCCTTTATGTTAGGCCTGTTGGTCACTAAATGAAGCATTTAATCTTCTTTCTTACAGCAATCACTGAAAACACAATCTGTGTTGGCCTTGCACGTGTGGGTGCTTCAGATCAGAAGATTGCTTCAGGCACACTGGAGCAGATGTCCACAGTAGAACTAGGTGGTCCACTGCATTCCTTGATTGTTACAGGCACTCTGCATCCTCTGGAATTAGAAATGCTTCAGCTTTTTACTGTAGCTGGGTCCAGTTTTGAACAGCATGCGTGCCAAAGGACCACTTAAATAAAAACAAGGCATTTATATTTTTTTTCTTTAATTTCATGACAGCATAATGTTATCCTTGTGCCCAATTAGAGCATGCCCAAGTGCAGTTAGATTGTTGCTTCAGAAGACAACACTGCAGGAACAGACATGCCTTTACTGGAGGCTACAAAGCGCAAGTTGCACCTGCTGGTATCAGCTTCTAACACATTGACACCTAACACATGAAACCTTAAAACCTCTTTGTCCATTTCAGTTCATTGACATTTGCATCAGTTTGAGGCTGATGACCAGGGTAAGAAGTGCAAGTAGAGAACTGAAGAGTAGCAGATATCTGTCTGGCATCAGTTTTGCCATGGTACATTCACCAAGCCTACTGCATACACTGGTGCAAGTGCATTCCAGGTGCTTGCTTTCAGTTTTGCAGAAACTCAGTAGTTCTCCCACCAACAGAAACCATTAGCGTGCAAAACCTTTTAGGGCTGTACTCACCTTTACACTTGGGATAGTGCCTAGACAGGTGAGAATGTTCTTCATGTCTAAACCAAGGAAAAGCAGAACTCACCCTTTGGATGTTGGTGAAACCGGGAGAAGCTGCACAGAATTTGTTATTTGAGAAGGCTGCAATTTAAAACAGAAGTGAATTTCTTGCTATGTTCATGGTACCATTTATGGAGTTCTGGACTCACACAGTCAGAAAACAGGCTGCAAGAATTCTTTTTCAGATCAGCCTGCTGTTGGTTGCCCTTTCAGCTGCTCTTCACAGTATGTACAGAACAAAGCAGACCTCTACGAGTGCTTTTCTTTTTAAACTGAAGGTTTATTGGAAAGAAACTGGATCCCAGAGCTCTTCGGCAATGTAGGATATTGAACATTTTGCCTGGACTGGACTCAAATACAAAAGATTACATTCCAAATTTCTAGTACTGCACCTGGGACAAGTCATGGCCAAGCTACTAACATGAGCATCCCACGAGAAAACCATATGTAAGCCTTGTGTTGTCATTAAGGTTTCTTTACAGATGTTTGGATATACTGTACTAGTCAATGTAAGCTCACTGCTAAGAGTAATTCCTGTCATTTAAAGGCAAGCGCTATGCTGAATGATATCAGGAATGATTTTGGCCATTTCCTCATTCACAGTATTTCACACTTCAGCCTGAATACTGCAGCAATTCATGTAACTGGCACAAGATCCCAGGAGACACAGGAAGACTTCAGCACACACAAGTAAAATCCACCACTCCTTTTACATGTGATTTCCACCAAACTGCCACAAGGCTGGAACCTTTTGTGGCTGAGACAGACAAGCAGATGAGCCAGGATTTGCACACAGTGGGACATGTCACATTCCAGGCACAGCAGAAGCCCAACTGGTATCTTCTCACATCAGAGCAGTCTCTGGCCAGTGAAGTCCCAACAGGGATGGTCACTGCAACAAAGCCAAAGCAGGGGAGGAATCGAAAAGGGAACCTCGGCAAGTTGCTGATAGGGATTTTCATAGGAGGGTAAAGGAGGAATTAATCACGGAGCCAGGATTAGGGATTAGAGAAATGAATTGCTGAAAAAAAAGGAGAAAATCCCTTTACGCTTATTCCCAAACACGCTTACAAGGGGTGGGATAATCAAGAATCCCAGCAAGCAGCAGCCTTAATGGCTGCTGGGGCAAACAGGACAGGGCTCAATTAGTAACTGAAGCTGCTGCTCTAAACCGGTATTTAAAGATCGTTACATGGGCAGTGATTAGGATTTGCATGTTATGAAGGTTCTTCCTGCAACTGGAGCCTGCACTGTGAGAGACAGGCCATGAACTTCACAGTTCACTTGGGCAGGGGGTGGAATGGGTGGAAAACTGCAGCTCAGCAGCATCTTCCCTCCCCTCTTGTACCTTGCTTTTAGTCCCAAAACAGGTTCACTTGAAAGAGAAACTCTCTCCTTCCTTCACTTTGGAACCCAGCCTCACTCCTTCAGAATAAACATCAAGAATGTTAAGAGTCATGAAGGCCCATTTTATTAGTAGCAGCAGTTTCCACTTTTATGTAAATACTGTGTCAGCAGCTCTAATGATGCAATTAAACTCTTGCTTTAGTAAGCACATTACATAAAGAGCAAAGTCAGTTATTTGCACCAGCACTTTTTGCTGTGGCTCAGCAAATCACACCAGAAATGAAGCTCTCTGTAGGGGCTACTGATGTGAGGAACAAGTTTATCCACATGCAGAGGCTTACAGGGTGAGCCTATAAAGGACCAGGCTCCTCCATACACACTCTTAAATAGTAGCTCTCTTCCACTGTTACTTCCCGTGACAAACATCTGGGGTGTTTTAGTACAGACACACTCTAGCGCTTATCATCTGACTTTGCTGCAGTTCCTGCAAAGGTCATGCAGTTTGCAGGCTTGGCTTTGGGACAATATTTGAGTTACTGTTTTCAGTCACAGAACTCACCCCTTACCTCCCCCCAGATACAGATCAGTAACTCCACAGTAAGCTTCAGCTACATGGGAACATGAGAGAAGCACACTCTGAAATCCTGGTTCAAAACTCAGTGCTGCATAGCACGAGGCTGAGTTTTGGCAGATGATCTGCAGACACTGACCCATCTCTGGCTGTCAGTCCTTCACACAAATCTTTGCTGAAATGACTGTCTCCCATCAAGCATTAAAAGCGGAATGTTCTACAAGTGGACAAGTACTAGGAATTAGCAAACCAGGAAATAACAGTGCTTTGACAGTCAGGAGAAGAGAAGCTGCACTTTGAATTGCATGATCTGTCCTCTCCTAAAATCCGAGTGAGTATCCCCTTAGTAGGTAAATAAGAAGAGCTCCGCTGTCACTGTGCTTACTGAAATACCAAATGTGGTGGTTCTTGCCTACTGGACTCGTCATCTACTGTCGTTCAGAGAGTTTTGTGATGCTTTTTTTTCAGCAAGCTTAAAAAGACTTAAAAGTCTCCTTGGAATCTGACTTCCCTATACCAGATTTGTCTTTGTTTGATTATGTTTAACAAACCAACAATCCATTTCTTACTATGAAACATCAATCTGTCCTCAAAAATAATGAAGAAAGTGCTATGTCAGTTAGAAAACTAACTTATCTGTTGCTAGCAGATGGACAAGTCATAGTAAGCAGCAAAAATATGTCAAAAATCACTCCAATCTATATTGGGTGATTATAACCAGCTGAAGGGCTTTTTCACTCCATTTCCCAGACACTTTCTAAAGAGTTTGTAGATGTACATCTAAAAGAGAACCACCACCAAGGAAACCTAGTTGCCATTCAGGCAGATTTCCCACTTGGAAACAAACTGTAACTGTTGTCTTTCCATTAGGAAAACTAAGTCAGTGGCCCTGCTCAGCTCCAGCAGCACCACAGTGTTTCACCAGCTCCAGGAGTACTCAGTCCTGAAACAAACGGGTGATTTAAACCAGAGCCTGGCTCTTGGATCATGACACAATTGCAATGAAGTGGGCTAGTGTTAGTCTTGAAAGTGATACCAGTTGATCTTCTGTAGCCTCAAAGAGTAGTAATAATAACTAGAACAAATAATAATCATGACATCATGCTGTCAGTCAGCAAGCAACATACAACAAAGCAATGAGGGATCTCTGCCCTGTCGTCAGAACCAGATTTTAATCACCTTGTCTGTGAACATACATGCAAGTGGTATCTTAAACTGCAGCACCCAGATCTGCTAAGAAGATTCTGGCACCCTACCCTGTGCTGTGGAGCTGTCTCATCCCATCCTCCAGTCAGAAACTCCAGGCCTCGCAGAGCACCTACAAGGGCAGACAGGGAGGGAGGCAGACAGGTGCAAGCAGAAGGCCAGGAGAGATGTGGAACAGTGCTGCGGGCATCCCCAGCAGAACCAGACAGCATCAGGAACCAGCAACAGGGATAAAGAAGGATGTGATTAGAAGAGGCTGTAAAGCTTAAAAGCAACATGTATGTGGCTTTCTACCGCTATTTTTCTTCATGCCCGGTTTTCAATTCAAGCACAAGGGTACATCCCCAAGCTTCGCACAAAATCAACATTCAGGTTTCAGTGTCTCACCTGGAAAATTCAGGAACAACCGATCAATTTGGCAAGCATCATGTTTTCACATTAAAGGTAAAAATATAGGTGCTTTATAGAAATGATGAAAGGAATGCAAGGAGCTTTACCTCCAAGGTGAATTCAGCGATACCAGTGGCAAATTTCCACATTTCCCACCATTTCCACAATGAATCTCAGGTACTTTCACAGTGCCCGGTACTTACTACACAGCCACTGTCAGCCTTAGAGGGCTTTGATTTCAGTTGTTGCTATGTATCAGGTACCAGAAGTATATCTCAGTACCAGAAGTCCATCCCACTCAGTACTGGCTATGATTTATCAGGAAAATGCCCATCTTGTTTTTGACTCCACAATGTTCTGTGCGTAAAACATCCTCTTAGAGTCTTCCATTGGTAAGTTAACTACTACAGCATAGTGGAATTATCACCTGTAATACCAAGTATAGCATATTGCCTTGCAACAACACTCAGAGCAAAGTGTACTGCATGGAGAATTCCTTTTTCCATGAAAACACACAAGGCTGCAATGAGACAGTAACAAACATCAGACTTGTCGACCAGGGAAAAGCCTAATCTTAAAGAGCATGAACCATGGTCCATATTTCCATTGCAGATATAACCACCAGAAACAACTATTTGCAGTATTTGGAAAGGCAAAAGTTCTCTCACCGATCACTTTAATAAAAGGCATTACAACCTATTAAAATCAAGGAGATTAAATCCCTAAATGGTTTAGTGAAAGCTTCAATTTTTTCCCACCCTGTAATTTGGAAGATAAAACACTTCAAGCATTTGCTTCCATCACCAGCATCTTCCCCAAGCTGCCTGTTGTTGCAGGGACTATGAACATGAGTAGCATCCTGTAATATCTCTTAACCCTTAACTGTATGAGGGGACTAAGAATTGGAAGTAAATGTAGTATTTTGACTAAAGTAATTTCCACAAGGTGTGCAGTAAGATATCCAGCTTGTTTTGGAAGCAAGTCTCTTCCCCTTTTACACTGGAATTCTGCTGCCTGGTAAGATGCAAGTGCAAGGAAAGTCTAACATCTAAAGTTATGTGAGTACACAAACCCCCACATATGTCACTAGTAAATAATCAGACTGCATACAAGATACTTGTAAAAGTAATAAAATCCTTTGATGCTCCTGATTTATGCTGGCAAATACCTATCCTGATATAAAAGGCACTTTGAAAACCCAATATGGTTTGGTTCTTTAAGTTTGCAAAGTACAAACAATTGTACAAACATACGATTATATCAAAGCATGTCAGCCACTGTGACATCATCTACAAAACGAGTTTCCAATAGTTGAGAACACTGGTTTTATGGGAATGAGCAATGGTTTCAGCAGCTTCACTGAAGACATGACAGGGTTTCCAGTACCGTAATCTTAGGAAGTAAAAAAAACCCTCAAAACCTTACAGGTTTAGGGGCCACAAAATAAATCAAGACCCAAATTCCGTAACATTCATTCAATATTTACTCCCTGGAGGTGAAGTCCATCCATAGCCCAAGGGCAGAAATCCATTCAGTCCATTCCAGAGCAGTGGTGGAGGCAGGCTCTGTCTCAAGAAGTGTGTTGTTCTACTAGTACAGTACAGAAAACTTTGGTCCAACAGCACAAGTTTAGGAATTCACTACATGGCTGCAACGTCAATCTGTATGTAAAGCTGTCTTACTCCTGCCTATGGAAAAGAGAAGAGTTAAAAACCCCAAACTTGTAAAGCCAAAGCAATTCAGCTATCCTGAACACAGTCCACACCAATAAGTTACCTAGTAAAGAACCTCAGGATCTTATTTTTCTTCTTATTAATCTTCCACGTCCAGCTCACCATTCACTGAGATGCTGGCTATTTGGAAACCCCAAACTCTGACAGTACTGTATGAATACCTAGTTCTTCACCTAGTTGAGTGAACACACTTGACTAATTATACATTAACATTACATATTAACTATACATTGACTATATAATAACTACAGCTTTGATACATCACCTTTTCTGCTTCATCCTGAGTAACTAAAACACATGAAGCTGCACAAAAGAAATTCCTTTGTCCAAGTTTAACTCCCTGAAAGCAAGCTGCTTGGAGAGCTGTCAGGGTAAAATGGAGCCAAGCACAAGAATGTAACATGGGATTTGTTGTCTGAACCAGCTCTACACTAAGATTTCAGCAAGAAACTACGATGTCTACAGTGGCTTTACATGACAGCATGGCATGACTTTTGGTAAAGGTACATGAATTGTACAAAAGCCATTTCTCTCAGAAACCTTGTTAAACTGGGCTTAGGTGGACCTGCTTGGTTTCATAATTCAATATAAAGCAGCATTAAAAGAAATTGTGATGGTCACTGATTATGCACTGTGATCTTGAAGCATTAGGCTGAATACTGCTGAAGATCAGACTGTTCAACTAACACCAACTTGAGTTTAGCTCAGTCAAGTGGCACAGCAGCTAAGATTAATTAGGGACAGTATTACCGAGGAGAAAAATCTCTACTTGCTCCAACTGCTCCTCCACTTATTACCATAGGTCACATAAGAAAAACGGTAAGACCTTGTTCTCCCAATTCACTTCCTGGACGCATGGCTCTGGATACCTGCACAGCTACAGAGCAGCTGAAGAGCTAATGACCCACTTGGGAAATGCAATCCTTTGGATGTAAAATTCATTTTAATGCAGTAGAATGTTCTGCAAACATCTTGCCGAAACATATCCCTTAGTTTCAAACTACTCAGTCTTCAGAATAAGCCATGCAGGATGATTTCTAACTACTCAATAATCCAGAGCTGCATGTGATGGAACATCTCAAAAAGGGCCAGACTTTGTTCTAAAATCAAATTTTAGTCCTATTTTTAACAAGAAGAACTTATACTTTCTTAAGTCTCTAACATAAACCCAGGTATGTGTGTTTATATTTACTGGGCTCCCCATGACTGACTACTTCAAATTCCTGTAAGGAGAATTCATGCACTGAGGCAGCACATTGGAGGGGTGGTTTCAGTGGTGCTTCTCCTGAAAGACCAGAAACCGAGTAGGCAAAATGCATTCAAAAATCACAAAATCCAGCCCGGGATTTTTAATTAAGCTGACAGTAATTTGCATTATCTCCAAAATATTACTCTTTAGCTGACAATGTTTTGTAACCTAAAACACCGGTTTTAAATAGGAATATTGTCTCCTTTTCAGCTATAGAACCCTGTCACTCAAAAGCAGATAAAGGACATTATGGCCCATGGATTCTTGGGAGGGAGAGGCATGAATGACAAATACATTCTTAGGGGAATAGAAATGAATGACAGTATCAGCAGAGTGAAAAACTTACATAGGTCCCAGCCTGCAGTTGGAAGCCCTGTCTTGAGGGAAGCCTCATCTATTTTCTTGGCTCCCCATTGGTCAATATAGGGTTTCAACTTAATTTGATACACCTCAGACAACTACAGCTGTTACTTACATTAAGCAGCATCAAAAAGCAATGCAGAGGTACAGCAGTTTCACTTACACTACTGAGTATTGTGAAATTGTTCTATACAGCTAGAGCAGAGCAGCTCTTCAAAACACACCACCATCAAAACCAGAAACATTCAGTTTTTCTTCATAAGAACTACAATGTCCCATCAAGTGACAGGCGCTTTACACTTTGAGACGTGATTTCTGCTCACGAGACATACCTGAGTAAAAATATTGTGAGTCTGGCTTAGAATCCACCTTCCATCAGCATCAGGAGCTACTAGTAATTTCAAAGTCCCTATGTAAACATCAGTACAGAGGGTCCAGAAATGGGGCTCATGTAAACTGTAAACTCCTTGCAGCTGCTGCACCTAAAAATACAAGCACATTTTAAAATACATACTTCAGAAAATGTCTGTACTATGTTTTTTTACAGAAAATATTATAAATGATATTTCTTTTACTTCTGGTTCACTGTGCAGTTTGTAATACTTCAATTCCTTATTACTATTTCAGCAACTGTAATGAAGGAGAACACATGCAGATCACAGGTACATGTCATGATTTGGTATGTTGCTGCATTGATATTCTACATATGTTTTACTAAAACCACTTCTGAAAACAGTGAGGTCCAAGAGAAAAGTCACAGTTATGTGATTTGAGAGAGCATTCCATTAAAACAGCAGTTTTTGCAAATGCAGGAATGTCCCCATTAAAAATATGGAGAGAGATACAAACCATTAACAGAAATCTATTAACATGTTTTGTGAGGGGGGGTTATGTTTGTCCTGTCCAAACCCTTTCTTTTGCCTCTGTCCACCTTTAGCAAACTTTCCACATATTACAGTCCTGTACTTGACACTCCTACAAGTGCTTTGTATTCACTTTGCAAAGGTGCGTCAATGTTCAGTCATAACACAGTAGTAGATTAAGTTACAGAGTAGTACCAGGAGCCACCAAATCTGAGTAATACACTTCCAATGTTACTTACTACTAGACTTTGAGGGAGCCAAAAACTAACAAATCAGAAAAACATTATCCACTTTGTATCAGCACAAAGTACTTTGAGAGGAAAAGCTCCAGGCCCTGTTTTTCTAACCTACCCTAGCACATTTTAAAACACAAACCAAGCTGAAACTACAGACAATTTAGGACAGCAGAAAGATCAGAATCAAACTGGTACCTCCATTCGTACAATCTAAGGAACCTTCCACAGGCAGTACTGGGAAAGCATCACAAAATATCCTTATACACACAGTTGTGGCTTATTCAGTCAGCAGCTCGATCTGAAGTGAAAACCGGCTAAGAGCTCACCCTCTGATAGCACTGAGGCAGAGTGTTTTCCAGGGAAGGAGGAGTTCGCTGCATCAGAATTCCAATGGATTCTTTTAGAAGTGGAACAATACTGGAAAGAAAAAAGCAAGTTACAATGCTATTACACTGTCTAAAGATGCAGAGCAATGTAACATTCCTTAATGCTCTTGAAGCATTTTTCTTCAGCTGTTTCACCAGAAGCTAAGAAAGTTGTCCTGAAAACCTGGTACAGACAAGGACTGACAGAATTGCTGTGGTGTCTCACTAAAGCCAAGATTACATCTCCCCCAGATTTGCCACAGAGACAACTGGTGGATGCTCACAAAAGATTTAATAGTTGAATCCTGGTATTTGAGATGAGCTTTCTTAGTCTCTTCAAAGTTATATGACAAGGCAGCTGATAAGCACAGCTCAAAACCCAGACCTCAATGGCAATCACTCACAACCAACCATAAAATAGGCAACTGAAATTGGGTTTGCTTTTGTGCTTGGCTTCAGGCATATTTTTCTTATGAACTCTGATAATAATGGGGAGATCATAAAACAAAATTAATATGGACCAGTCCAGCTCTAACAAAGTTATTCTGTCAGAAACAGACAACTTAGCATATTCTTGAACTCAGCAAAGGAGCTCAGCCAAACTCAAGGATTAAACATTTGGAAGCAATTAGAGGTTCCCTCCTGGCCAAATGGTCTTGTTTAATCAGCAAGCCAAGAGAACACTTAGTGGCCTTTTTATTACTGATACTTTCCTTTATTTTTTTAATAGAAGCAGTTGGCCAGTTAGCCCATCTGCTGAAGCTACCACTAAGTATTCATACTCATATTACAGATGCAGAATGGCAAACTGTTGTTTAGGAGCAGCGTATCCTGTCTGGCTCAACAGAGCATCCTAACATTTTCAAGAGTATGACAAATATCTACAGCCCAATATTAACACTTGAACAGCAATCTCATTTCAAGAGCACATTAAGTCAACCCACCACTCTAGAACACAACTGATAATGTATTTCATAAGCTGTAAGCTGAATTTCAGTGTTCAGCACTGGCATCACAGCTGGAACACACGGAGTAATGGGATAACAAACATCAGAAAACATGTCCAAGAGATTAACTGGGCTGTCTGTTAAAGGAAACCACTGAAGCATTGTTTGAAACCTCATGAAGTGATGCAGAACACACTGTGCACCCCAGGTGTATATCTGCAGATGATGAACAGCATGTCCCAACCATTCTTTTCCATTTCTGAAGATCTGGTTCCATTTGTATGTGGAAGTAGCGCTGGCTGTGAGCTGAGCAGTCCACCTCCTCGGCTAACCCTTAGGCAGGGCTGGGAGGAGGTTAGAGGGTGCATGACTCTTGTCCAATGAACCCCTGGAAAAACAGACACCCTAAATTTTTGTCTCCTTGCAGGCACAGTGATTATTCCAGCCAAATTCGCTGTCTGATGCACTTCATATGGCCTCACACAGTTCCACTGCTACTGGGGGGAATTGGTTCAGACATAGGAAGAAGCAATTAGAAGCAGGCAGGAGTTGCCTGAAGTGGACCTGTCACACAGACAATTAAACATTCAGCAAGGCAGTAACTGCCCAACTGTCTAAAGAAAGCCTAATTGGAGTGTCACGTTCTACAGACAGTGGATTACAACAGTTTATGGAAAAAAGTTCTTATCAATGGACCCATCTCACTAAGTAATGTCCATGTCACAAGCATTACATCAAAGGAGCTGGGGCTGCCAAAATACTCTCTTGCTGAATTGATTTCAGATTAACTCACTAAAAATACAGGTTTGCTTCTTCATAATAATCTTGACAGACCAATACACAAGTTCAGGATGCAAATGGAATACAAGATCTTTGAAAACAGACTCCAGTCCCATAAATTTAACAAGGCCCCTTTAACATATGGGTGAGGCTTCCAAAGGCTTCAAAACATATACACATACAGCCTGCATGCTTTTTCCAGGGAAAGGACTAAAGGAATGGAGACCACAGAAGCTTGCATTGCTATTGGGACATACCACTAAGAGTGGGTGGGAAGAAAAACATAAAAGCAACACAACCAAGAAACGTCTGATTTGCACAACTTATTTATATTATTTTATCTATCTGATGCACATAATCTGACAGAACCAAAATGAACTGGCAAGTAGGAGATCTGGAGAGACAGCCTGCAGAAACGTAAGACTGGCAGGTTGGGCATGTTAACCCACTCCAAAAAAGGATTTGGTCAGTGAAACCAGTTGATTTACTCTGGAACAGGATGCACACTGGAGAGAGGAAGTGAAAACCCTGTTAGAAGCTCTTCGCTAAACAAGCTTTGAAAATTAACATCTACTTCATTCTGAGAACCCTCTGCCTAAAAACTGATCTTCCAAGGTTAAGTCTATCAGCAAGGTGTGCATAAGCACCAAAGACTGCCTCCCCTTGCCCAGCAGCACCATTGAGCATGAAGGAACTGGGCAGGGTTTAACCCAGAGAAGAGAAGGCTCAGGGGGGACCATATTGCTCCCTACAACTGCCTGACAGGAGGATGGAGCCAGGAGGGGCTGAGCTTTGCTCCCAAGGAACAAGGGATGGGACAAGAGGAAATGGCCTCAAGCTGCACCAGGGCAGGTTTAGATGGAGCTGAGGAACAATTCCTTCCCCAGAGGGTGCTCAGGCATTGGAACAGGCTGCCCAGGGCAGGGCTGGAGTCACCGTCCCTGCAAGTGTTCACACACCGTGGAGACGAGGCCTCAGTGCCATGGGTTAGCCGTGGCCTTGGCAGGGCTGGGGAATGGTTGGACTGGATGAGCTTAAAGATCTTTTCCAACCTGGCTGATTCTATGATTAGCTCAGAATTAACTAATATACAAAATGTGAGTGGGCAAACACTTGACTCCTCATACAGCTGATACAGCTTAAAATACAGTCTCCCTGATGGCAGGATTTCCCCTATTCATGGAATTCAGCTCCACACTAAAGCTTTGAGCGAGAAATCTTCTGTGCAAGTGTTTTGCAGCAATGCTGCACAAGTTACCTTTTATCGAGACCTCACAAAAGCACTAAAGCCATGGTGTGAAACAGCAACAGCTTAAAAGTACAAAGAGTAAAGGTAAATCGGGATGTGCAGCTTGATACTGCAGGTGAAAGCTGAAGCATCCTTCAGGTCACACCTCTCTCCTCTCAGACAGTGTTCACCTACAAGCTTCTCTTTTGGAAAGCTGGAAAGGGCAAACACCAGATGCAGTGATGGGATCTGTCCTCACAACTACATTAGAGCAGAAGCCCATGCACCCATCTCTGCATCCAAAGGGACACTATCTTACTAGGTGTCTTACCTTTTACTGTAAGCCCAACTAACACGACAAAATACAGAATCCAGTTTCCAGTTTTCTGCTCTTTCAGGTTTTCCACTGCTCCATACATACTACTGGCGTACAAAACCTTTTAATAAAAATACAGAACTCCACACAGTATGCCGCTCTCTCAGACACTAACCAAAAAACAGTATTATTTAATCACCAGGAGTCACTAGAAATATTAGTTCCATCCCATGTGACTGAAGAAAACACTAGGAAAGATGAGCAAGCATGCTGAAAAGTGTGGTTACAGAATCTGACCAAGCTTTCCTTTTTTTAGATTAGTCATTAGTGCAAGACACACATGGCTGTCTCTGCAGCAGCTATTGCATTGATACTTCCCCTCCCTTTTGCTTTGTATTTACAAAAATATTATCGAGAAAAAACAAATGCTGCTGAATTCGCACCCAGCAGCAGTCTGGAAGCTTTGGTGCTAAAGCAGACACAATCTTTCAGTGGTCTCTAATTACCAAGCCTTGAATCTAAAATATCACACTCAATCCTGGACTGGTTTGGGTTGGAAGGGACCTTAAAGCTCACCCAGTTCCAACCCCTGACACAGGCAGGGGAACCTCACACTAGAGCAGGTTGCTCCAAGCCCCTGTGTCCAACCTGGCCTTAAACACTGCCAGGGATGGGGCAGCCACAGCTTCTTTGGGCACCCTGTGCCAGCGCCTCAGCACCCTCACAGGGAAGAGCTTCTGCCTTAGATCTAACCTGAACTGCCCCTGCTTCAGTGTGAACCCATCACTCCTTGTCCTATTGCTAGAGTCCCTGATGCAGAGTCCCTCTCCAGCATCCTTTGAGGCCCCCTTCAGACACTGGAAGCTGCTCCAAGGTCTCCACACCGCTTTAGAATGTAAAAGAGGCACTAACCCGCAGCAAGAATTGGGACATAAACAGATCCTCTACAAAAGTCCTAATAGCAAAAGCAGCTAATGTGTGTAAATTTAGTTGGCAGCACATCACACTTGCACTGTTGCAGGGGGAGCCAAAGGTGTTCAAGCAGATAAAAGCTACTGATAAGTTCAGCTTGCCACTATGACACATGGTTTGAGTAGCAACCAAGAGTGAAAGCATCAGACTCTTCATCAACGTACATCACATTCAGGTAATGCTCATATCCATTCCAGTTCCACTGTTTGGCAGGCACAGCCAGCAAGACTCTGCCATTGCCATGATCTTGGACAGCAAGGCTGAAAACCCTTTACACAGCCACTGCAGTCAGAGCACAGCAGGAAATGCATTTAGTGCTTTCAGCACAACAGAGAATACTTGTGACAGAAGTGTTTGCCTTCCACAAAATCTAAGACTCAAGATCTATGGCTCTTCAAATCCCATAGCTGAAAAAGTAAAGCCAGGTTTCAAGATCTTTTATTTTTCCTCCAGCCACCACCCACATGGGCAGTGCCAAGACTGTTACCCTGTTTCAGAACATTAATAACGGTTTTCCATCAGGCAGTGGCAGCTTTAATCAGACTGCAGGCTTTGGTCAAGACAAGGATCCCAGGTTTAATGCTTACTTTCCCAATTCTAAATTGGCTGTTCTCATCACAGTGCAGTGCTTTGATTCCCAAGTAAGGCCAGCAAGTACCATAAGCCTGTAAGCAAAGGCAGTGCAGGCCATTTAGCAATGATGGCTTAAAACACCACCATCAAGCATGCTTGTTCAGGGGACTTTTGCTAAGAAAATTCCTTCCGAATCTAACCAAATGCAGCACTTCATTGAAAAAAAGCAACTTTTTATACTGTTATGCCCCGCACATTAAAGGCATATACCCTAAATGTTACACGCATGTGCTCCCTCAAAGCTCTTTCATGAGATATCATGTTCAAGCAGCTCTAGATGACGTAAGCCATGGAAACAATTTCACTTAAATGACTAAATTGCCTCATATGTTCAACCCATTACTATGTGGTATGCATACTCTGTCCAATCCAGTATCATATTTAGTTTACAGTGCCTTTCTAGAAGTATGTGGGACTAACAATGGTTTCAGACAAACTTCTTGCTTTGCACTGGAGTTGTGGCTTTTGGTCATGACTATTTCACATTGAGACACTAAAATTGCCTCAACACTTCAGAACAAAGCTTTGAATTCTAATGTTAAAAAAAGTAAATGAACATTTAGTTTTAAATATTAAAAGCAGTTTAGAGTCTTAAAAACACCTTGGGAAAAACTTGAAGAGTGTCAACCTGAACACCTATGAAATAGCCAAGCTTTTGTAAAAGAAATGATAAATACTTCCAATAAAATGCTCATAAAACAGACTCCTCTACTTTAACCATGTCCTATTTATGCGTTACAATTCAATGGACACTTTCATGAGATCGTGCAGAAAGTAATCAAAGGAGGATTCATCAGGTATTAGTGGTAGCATCCAGGAACACAACAGCTACAACCCCTCACCCAAACCAACCCTTCAGAAAGGGCCATAGATTTATGATGCAGAGATTGGAAAAGACTGCAGGATATAGTCAGTAATATGAGGACCGTTTTACTTCCTCTATGAACCATCTTATCACCATGGATGGTGAAGGCAGAATAAACAATGGTTTCATGTCCAGAAATGTACAGGATTACCAAAGTCAAACAACACAAAAGGGGACTCGAGCTCTCAAGGAATACCCATCTGAAACTGCCAGTCATCTTGTTTATGATCTTGTTTAAGTGTATTTCAAGCAAAACCATCAGTAGTTAAGTCTTTTGGACTACTTAAGAATTAAAAACCCAACCAACCAAAACAAACCAAACCCAACTCAAACTTTCAATTACTGCTTGCTCCTGCTGTGCTGGCATGTGTCAGTCTGCAAGACATGCAGGCTTGCATCTCCTGACTGTGATGCAGCTGACTGCACTCAGCATAACGGTTTTAGAGATCATTATAGCACTGTGGACCAACAAAATGATACAGGCTGAGGTCTGGGATCAGGTCAAAATATGCTGCACCAGCAGCACAGGGCATGAACCTCAGACACTCCTAACTGTGCTAGAAGACATACCTATAAACAGCTTTATCATGAAACCTCTATCATTGAACGTAGTCTTCTTCAACCTCTGTATGCATGGAAGAAAAATACTTTCTGATCAGCACTCTACATGTGCTTTCCTGTATACAAAGCTAGACCTTTAAATGCAAAGTATATGGAAACTAGTGCTTTACTCAGCTATTACCTTGGCAACAGTTTCTTCTGCGTTAGTAGCCTGCACATTTATCTCCCATTTTTTTTGATATTTCAGTAATAGAATTAATTTGTAATACTTTCTCCTTTATGAAATTACAGGAGGTTTAGGTAAAAATATCAAGCTCCCATTAAAGTGGCAATTCAACAGTGATCTCTAACACAGACTTCTGTGGGCATTTAGTGCCCTACTCTGCTAATTTGTGAGATTCATGTCAATAGTTTTGTGAATGCTGCCATGCACATGGTATAAACATGCCATATGTGGTATAAGCATAAGTAGCTGCAGTCAGTCAGATTACATTCACCACTACAGAGACAGAGGTGCTCAGTTATGAGGCTGTAACTGGAGTTGTGGCACTCCACCCTATGTCACCACTGAAACCTCTGCCAGAAAAGCCCCAGTAACAGCAGCACTGAATGAAATGTTCGCTTGTCCAGTCTGATCCAAATAGCTTCACATGGACAGTAAACTTGGTAAGCAACAACAGGGAAAGGCCAGAACTACCTGAAGCATTTCCACCAGATCTGCAAAGGAATAAGGATGTCTCAGAATACAAATCCAAAAGGAAAAAGGCAGCTCTCGCCAGGGAAAAAAAAACCACAAAAAGTAGCAGATTTGATTTGTCAAGGACAAGGGCACATCCTGTGCCAGCAGGCTCAGCTCTGCTGCCCTGAAGCCATTCTGCTCCATTTACTGAAGCACACTGGTTTACATAAGCATGTACTAAATACAGAGAGGAAGCTTTCTACAGCTTGAACCTGAAAGACATTTTTGTATAATCATGCAAACAGGACTAAAAGATGCAGATTTAAGAGCAAAAGCTGTAGCTGTAGAAAAGGGAAAGACAGACAATTCCTGTAAGAGCACAGCAAGAAAGCTATACAGAACAGAGGTAAGGTATCACTCTTGGAAGGAAAGCAAACATTGCAAGTCATTAGTATTAAAGACAAACCTTTTCTTCCAAGCTGTAATCTGTGCTGTAACTTACATCAAAGACACTGCCAGCTATCAGTGATATCAACACTTACCTTACACCTATAAGTAGTGCTATCAGCATTGAACAAATAGGATCTGCTATCATTAGACCGTAGTTCTGCATCAGTATAGCGGATATGATCACACCAATACTTCCCAGTGTGTCTGCAACAATGTGCAGAAATACACCTGTAAGAGATTAATTGACATCATTACAACTTGGTATTCTTAAAGCTAATGGAGCCTTTTAAAGCCAGGTTATAGAGAAGAGTTACAAGATCTAGGTAACAATTTATGCTCATGGTCAATTTTTGGTTAAGCACATTGAAAACAATCACAGGATTTCAACATACTCATAGAACACAGAGCATGTGAAGAATTGACATTATTTTCTGTACTTAGTAGTAATAGGTATTTCAATACTCTCCCTTATTGCAGTAATGAAACTCACATTCCCTGATGCCTACATACAAGAAGTACTGTATAAGATGGAAAGACTGTTAACAGAAACAGCTCTGTAAAGCTTTGAAAGATGCTTATGTGTCACTGACAGCATCTTATAGGAGTTAATTGTCAAAGAAATCTAAGACAAAAGACTTTGAGAATTAACCAACACTGCAGACATGAACAACTTACTCTGCAGAATAGCACACTACCTTAGAAGACAAAGAAACAGGGACTTTGCAGATAACCAAAATTTAGCCTCTGGAGCTCCCTGCTGGCAACGATGGGAACAGTCATTCAGAAACAGCTTTTGGAATACACAGCAAGTAGTCTGGTATGGGCAAGATGCTGGGAGGGCACACGGCCATAAGAGCTGGTCCCAACAGACAGAAGGATATTGTTGTACATTTGGGTATGCCAAATAATTACTACCTACTGCATGACTCAGTTTCCTCCCCCAATTTTGAGCACTTAAATTAATCAAAGTTCAAACCTGACATTTAAATTATCAGTAATTTATTTACACTTATGCTCAGGAGATCACAGACTCCAATAGTGCCAATTCAGACTGAATTACCATCTTGTCCAAACAACCATAACAGCTTGATGAAATACAAGCTGTAAGCTCAGGCACCCTTTAACAATTACACCAACATGCATTTTCCAAATACATTCTATCTTAATATTGGTCTTCACTTCCCAGAGCACACGATGCAATTAGGCTCCTTCGGTTTCTGTATTAACCACTCTTTCTTAGAGTTTTATTATTTGATGTTTTCAGTATCAGTAACAGAAGCTGAATACCAGCTTTTGAGATCCCCCTTTTAAACCGATGTTCCAACTACAGTGAATGTAGAAGGGGACTTCAAAAAATAGCTCCTCTGAGAAAAACAGCATTTTCTCAGAGGCACCCTCTAAACCAGATGTGACAGTCAGTAAGAAGCAGGCATACCAGGATAAAACTAATAAAACCACTATCCTTTTTTTCAGCATACCTTGTAAAATCTGTTTGCTGGACCCAGCCATCCCTTCAAGAGAATTGTCACCTGTGAAGATTAATTATTGGTAGGTTAACACGCTACACAAGGACTCTCTCTAATGGTATATTCTGTTATGGTTTTCCCATATTTTCTGGATCAGACACGCTGCTCACAGTTACCAGCTTTTACTTCAGCTGTTTGTTTTAAAGTCTTAAAATACCCACTTTATACAATAGATTTTATGTATGCATAAAGATCAACATGTTTTTTAATGAAAACAAACTGAGACATTAGACCTTTCCAATATTTAGCAGTGTAAGATCCCCTCAAGAATACAAGCCATACACACAAGCAAGAGCAAGGTCAAATAGATTTGCTCACCAGAAATATTTCACTTAAGGAAGCGTTCATGCCTAATGTAAACCAAGAAGGATAAAACTTGGAAAAGGTAGAACTAAGTAAAAAAAAATTCCTCTCAACCAAGCAGATTAATGCCTCTGTGGAACATATCCACCCCTGGCAGAGTTCAAGGCCAGGCTGGACAGAGCCTTGAGCAACATGGTTCAGTGTGAGGCATCTCTGCCTCTGGATGATCATAAGGTCCTTTTCAACCCAAACCAGTCTGGGATTCTATGTCAGAAACGTATTTTACAGTATCACAGTATCACAGTATGTTAGAGATTGGAAGGGACCTCAAAAGATCATCTAGTCCAATCCCCCTGCCGGAGCAGGAACACCTAGATAAGGTTACACAGGAACGTGTCCAGGCGGGTTTTGAATGTCTCCAAAGAAGGAGATTCCACAACCTCCCTGGGCAGCCTGTTCCAGTGTTCCGTCACCCTCACTGAGAAGAAGTTTCTTCTCAGGTTTAAGTGGAACCTCTTGTGCTCCAATTTGTACCCATTACCCCTTGTCCTTTCATTGTTTGCCACTGAGAAGAGCCTGGCTCCATCCTCGTGACACTCCCCCTTTATATATTTATATACACTAATAAGGTCACCCCTCAATCTCCTCTTCTCCAAACTATAGAGACCCAGCTCCCTCAGTCTTTCCTCATAAGGGAGATGCTCCACTCCCTTAATCATCTTAGTTGCCCTGCGCTGGACTCTCTCCAGCAGGTCCCTGTCCTTTTTAAACTGAGGGGCCCAGAACTGGACACAATATTCCAGATGAGGCCTCACCAGGGCAGAGTAGAGGGGAAGGAGGACCTCTCTCGACCTACTAACCACCCCCCTTCTAATACAACCCAGGATGCCATTGGCCTTCTTGGCCACAAGGGCACAGTGTCGGCTCATGGTCACCCTGTCGTCCACCAGGACCCCCAGGTCCCTCTCCCCTACACTGCTCTCTAACAGGTCGTTCCCCAGCCTATACTGGAACCTGGGGTTGTTCCTGCCCAGATGCAGGACTCTACACTTTCCCTTGTTATATTTCATCAAGTTATTCCCCGCCCAGCTCTCCAGCCTGTCCAGGTCCCTCTGGATGGCAGCACAGCCTTCTGGCGTGTCGGCCACCCCTCCCAGCTTAGTGTCATCAGCAAACTTGCTGATAGTGCACTCAATTCCCTCATCTAAATCGCTGATGAATATATTAAATAATACTGGTCCCAGTACCGACCCTTGAGGCACTCCACTAGATACAGGCCTCCAACTAGACTCCGCCCCATAGACTACAACTCTCTGGCTTCTCTCCTTCAGCCAGTTCACAGTCCAGAGAGATGGCTTCTAGTGAAAATATACCGTAATTTATGTGAAAGTGAGCTTCAAATTGCACAAAACTACCTTTGCTGTCCCACTGGGGTAGAGAACATGGGGAGAGCAAGGAACAGGCAGGAGGAAGGAGCTCCTGCTTTCCAGACAAACTCTGGGAGAACACTTGGAAAGCAAGCACCAATTTTCTACTACGAATAGCAGAGAAAGGACAAGTAAATACTCTTATACTCTGTCACCTCCTGTCTGCAAGGTACCACACTATTCCCTGCTCTGAATGTGCCCATCTGGAGTCACATCCGATCCTAGTTTATGGCTTAGGCAGGAAGGACTGACATTACAATAAGGCTTTCCTTTGCACTGTTTCAAATGGGTGGTAACCACACTGTCTCTTCTCCCATAGTGAAGGCTACTGATCATATTCTGCATGGATGTCTCTTCACAGATTTTTTTGCCATTATAGAAAAGATTCAAGCATAGAAAAGATACCAAGTCCCTTTTTCATGACCAGCTTCAAAACAGATTACAACCACACAAGATGGGGCAAATCTTATATTTGAGATCGCAAACCAAGTACAACATATAAGTTGAGTCAAGATGGCCTATGACATGAACCAAGTACTTACCATGACAGTAATCCTGACCATGAGAGTGTCCATGACCATGATCATGAGTGTGTCCATGGCCATGTTTATGCTCATGGCTGTGACCATGACCTCCGTGACTGTGTCCATGGCCGAGACCACCATTAAATAGAGAATGGCTGTGTTCATGACCTATAAACAAATGGTACCATCAGAACATACATTTAAATTGTTGAATCAAAAGATGCTTACGTTTGTTTCTAAGCAACTTAAAACCTATTCATCTTTTAGGTCATCTTAATGTACAGCTTTAAATAAGTTCAGAAAATTAACACAAGCTATTTGATATCTAGATCTATGCTTGGCAACTGCATAAAAATATAACTGAATTGAGAAGTCAAATGCTTTTGTACATTCCACTTCTGAGATAAGTTGTGCTATCCTTTTAGTACAATTGTGTAGACGTACACATAATAGAATCATATTACAAATAGCTGTTTTAATAAATAAGAAATTGGCTATCACTCAGACATAAAAAAATAATAAAATCAAGCTAAATCACTGTTTAAAGACCAAAGCCTATTTTCTTCCACCAGTCTATATTGGTTTATGCAGTAAGCTGAAAGAGATACCAATTAGCTTTGCAGAAAGAAAAAACCCTTTTTACCAAATATATATATTTAGGCAAATACTGTATTTTGAATTTAAATGCAGAATTTAAGTTGAGAAGCATCTGAAGCTGAATCAGCCCACGCTTAAGATCTGGTTCAGACACTGCTTTGTAAATTTTCCAGTCAAAATCTTCTTAACTCCAGCTTAATTTTGTCCAAATGACACTCTACAAATCTGTCCCAGTAAGGCACAGAGAGTGCATGGTCCAGAAAGTACATTCTGGAGTTCTAAGTCTTCCAGTTAATGGATATTAACACGGAAAGAGGCAGTGACATACCAGGGCTAGTGATAAAACATAAAAGTCAATACTGCAACAAGTCACATATCCATTTGCCTAGGATTGCCACTAAAACCACATTACAATTCAATCCTGGGGTTCTCAGGGTGCCACAGAAGGAAACAGTACTGAAAATTATAGACATCCTACCAGAGCCATGTGAATGCCCATGACCTCCATGTTGAAAAACAAATATTCCTATAAGATTTACAATGAATCCTAGTATAGAAACAGGAAGAAGTCTTTCATGATGCACATCAGGAGGCTCAAGTGCTCTCTAAAAAACAAAACAAAACAAACTAAACACCAAAACAAAGCTAACAAACCCAAATACAATCTCTTTACATCCTTAAAAGACACTGAACAACCTAGAAATCACTCAGGACTTTCAGGTTTTGGGAAGGTATGTGAACAATTCTTACTGTCTGAAGTTGAAGTTGTTTATTATGAAAGCTGTGAAAGTATAGCAGAATATTCTGACAGTCTAACTTTTATCACAGGATTTCAATATGCTGCAGGATGTGACTCAACACCATATGAAAACGTTCAAGTGTTGTACAATGCAGACTGATCGAGTCATCAAAAAACTTCCAAGAATTTATAATGCCATTTCTTCCTTTCTGCTAAGAAAGATGAGAGGATGAGAAGAATGAAATGAAGACTGAGAACAAACTGCAGCATTTTCTTAAAACTTCTAAAATCTAGACTGATTTTTTCTTAACTCTTTTCTTACCCTACTTTCTTTGGAAGTTTTTCTTTAGTGAGACATTACAGGCCTAACACAATTTGCATCTTGAAGCTAAGTGTTGAAGAGTGTAAATTACTATTGATGGCGTAGAGAAACATTCACCATCTGCCCCCAGGTATGAAAGGAATAGCAAGACAATGAAACTTGCAGTAGATGCAACATTTTAAAGCAACAAAGAGAAAGGAAGTCACCACCACAAACAAAGCTAATACTTAACATGGGAGCTAAGACCAGCAGAAAAACAATGATGTTTCAACATTAACCTAGACCCTTCCAGTAGCAATTTTTTTGTATTTCTAGCGGCTTTTGTTGCTGCTTCTAGATTTGGAGTGAAGTTTTCATGTTTTTAGCAATTTCAATTCAGTTTGTACAGATTTTGAAACATTTACAGGCTTATTTATGTACAGGATATGTTCCTGAGAACTCTTACCAGTTCTCCAGTAAAAAGAAAACCACTAGAATGTATTCTGAACTAGAAGGCTAAACAAATTTAGAGTGCATCTCCCATTAAAAGGAAAATGGCTTTAATATAAACTGATCAGAATCAGTTTTACTCTTAATCCTACCTCACTTCAGCGCAGACATGCTTGATGTCTACATTTAAATCTTGAAATTATCACCTGAATCATCTTGAAAAAAAAAAAAAAATAATCAAGTGCCCTTATAAATGTTAAAGCTATTACTACTTGCCAGTTTTATCAGACCAAGATATGGCAGATAATCCTTTTTCTTTGATAAGTTAGACCAACTTCTTCACAGGATGTGGCTTATGACTAATGGCTCTCCTCTGAATAACTAGCATTTATCTTTCTTTATTGGCCTCATTAGTCCATTAACAATGAGAAATAAAGATCTTTCTATGACATGCTTAACCACCTGAAAAAGGATAGGGTAAATCTCACAGAACCTTTACACACAGTCAAAATACACTATTTAAGAAGCTAGTACTGATACACTGAAAAAGCTGGTTTCTGTGTCACAAACCAACAATTTTAGATTGCCTTATTCTCTGTTCAAAACCCAGTTTAATTTTTCAATTCAATTTCACTGATTTTATCCCCATTAAATATGTTCTACAAATATCAATGTGACTATTGATAATGCAAAGGACTCCATAACATACCTCAACACCTTCAGAAAAAATGAAGAACGCTGTAAAGATAAGGAATAAACCATTTACAAAACCAGCAAGTACTTCTGCTCGAACATACCTGCAAGAAATGAAAAAAACAAAAGCAGATATTAACACCTCCATTATAATGCTAAAAATTAGAAGTGGAATTTATGAGACTTGGAGTACAATCTTCTAGTTCTCAGTTGTATTACAAAGGGATTTGCTAAATGGAAGATGCAGTAAATTAACTGCAGTAAGTACATACAGTAAGAAATTCAGTACGTTGTATTATGACAGAAATTACCTGATCCAGATCAGCCATTACCTGATCTAGATGAAAGAAAGCTGTCAATATGTCAAACTCTTCCCATTTAAGATGCTCTTAAAATTATAGTATAAATGTATATTTGGAAGTATATAGTAATATATATATTACTATATAGTAAATAGATATATATAGTAATATATTATATAGTAAATACTATAGAAATATAGTATAAATGTATGTTTGGAAGCCACAAAATAAGACAATCATGTGAGATGCAACTGAAGTCTGCTGATCTAAAGTTCTTCAAGCAGCCATACATTAATTTGCCCCTCTGTACCAGAGGGATTTTTAGTACAAGTAGAAATTAACTATTTCATATACTAAAGTTTTCCAACACAAAGCAGTCAGGTTAAAATAACATGTAGCAAACATCAGGCTTAACAAATTGTGGCTGTTCTCTATTAAATGGAACACCAGCTGTTTAAATGCAGAGCAGTAATTAATACAGAACTTGCTTTCACTGCAATTAGTTCACAGTACAATCAATTCTTCCTAAATTGATTTCTAGGCACACTGCAGTTTCCACCTTAATTAAACAGTGCTTTACGTTTCAGACTACACAATCTGTGCTTAGGCAACACAGTGGAAGCTAAATGCTGACATTCAGGTCAGTAATGCTATAGGAACGCAGCAACCCCTGTTACAGCTCGCTTGCTGTTAATTAATCGTATCACCAATTTAATAATATTTTATCACCAGTATTGTTTCATAGGGCACAATTGCAACATGCAATGGAAGCAAGTGCCCTTGGAACAGAATCAGGTGGAACAGCTATATCCATGAAGATGGTATGGCATGAGGGAGTTACTAACTTAACAGTTGACACAAGTCACCTTAAAAACCCACACTTTGAACATGTTGTGTGAAAAGAGGTTTTGTTCATAGGAGTGAAAAAATTCTACTAGGCATTTACTGAAGTAGGTAAAGGTAACAGCCTGAAGTTCACTAAAGCACATAAAGGCAACAGCCTGAAGTTTCTTACCCATAGGAGAACGCATCGTTTGACCTCCATTTTGAAATAACTGAAGCTGCTAATCCAGCCAATAGAGCAGTACAGTCAAAAAACATATGAAAAGAATCTGATATTAGACCTAAACTGGAGAAAAAAAAGAAAAAGAAAACAAACAGGGAAAAGAAAAGTCACATTCCATATGTTACATGTTTAGCATGGGAAAACAGCATTTAATCTTTTACGCACTAGCAGAACACACTGTGTGTCTAACTGTCAGGCAAGATTTTGCTATCACAGAGGAGAAAGCCACACTAGATGACTAATACAAACATGGTGACAACTGCTTTTGTCAGCTTTGGGAAGGCACTTTGGAAGAGTGCTTGGCAAAAGATCCTCCTAGTATATGATTCTGGTGGTAGCAGAGGGTGGTTTCCATAACCACAGACCCTGGAGTAGATGCACCCACAGCCGCACCTCTCACCAACATAGTGGCAGGTATTTGCTCTTCTATTTCGATTTATAGTTTGACCATATGAGCAAAACTGGTTAGAAAAGAATATACACACAAGCTGCATTTAAGTGCTGATCCCACGTAAGTGCATTTTGCAGCCAGTTACAAAAGCAAACTGTGTTTAAAGACACTGCTTTTCTATTATACACAACGTATATATCGGTTAACGTGTACAGTAACACTAAAACTGTTCTGCAGAAGACTGCCAATGCCACCAGTGATGGAACTAAGCATTTACAAAAGCAATATTCTCAAACCAATTTTTGAAGTTGATACTTTGGAAGAGTTTTCACACACAGGGAAAATCAGTCAAAAATTTCTTTGATGCCTGTTACTGAAACAAGCTCCCATACTAGCTCTGAACCAGAAATCATACAGCAAGTTATGATGGCACTGTGCTCACAACTGCTGATCCCATAAACGCAAGACTTCCCATAGGTGCAATGCCAACACAGCTGTACTGCTTTCACACACTAAGCTAATATGTCCAAGTAGCCAGAGGCACAAGCATTTATCAACAGAGGTTGATATCAACAGACTGCAACACAATTCACCACATGGCATAAAGATGCTTTGTGGCAGAGGCACAGTTCTAAGTGACTCAACTGAACAAATGACAGGAAGATCTGAGGCTTTTTTTTTTGTTTAATTATAGAATCCCAGACCGGTTTGGGCTGAAAGAGACCTTAAAGCTCATCCAGTTCCAACCCCCCGCCACTGGCAGGGACACCTCACACCAGAGCAGGTTGCTCCAAGCCCCTGTGTCCAGCCTGGCCTTGAACACTGCCAGGGATGGGGCAGCCACAGCTTCTCTGGGCACCCTGTGCCAGGGCCTCAGCACCCTCAGAGGGAAGAGCTTCTGCCTTAGATCTAACCTGAACTTCCCCTGTTTCAGTGTGAACCCATCACCCCTTGTCCTATTGCTAGACTCCCTGATGCAGAGTCCCTCCCCAGCATCCGTAGAGCCCCCTTCAGACACTGGAAGCTGCTCTGAGGTCTCCACACAGTTTCTCTTCTCCAGGCTCAACAACCCCAATGTTCTCAGCCTGAACTCAGAAGTCTCTTATACTTAATTAAGATGGAAACAGGGTTTTCAGCAGGGCCTGTAGTGACAGGACAAAGGGTGATGGTTTTAAACCAAAAGCAGGGAGATTCAAGCTGGATGCGAGGAAAAATTCTTTACAAAGTGGTAAAACACTGGCACAGATTGCCCAGAGGTGGCAGATGCCCCATTCTTGGAGACATTCAATGCCAAATTGTGGTTCTAGGCAACCTGATGCAGTTGAAGATGTTCCTGCTCATTGCAGGGGCTTGGACTAGATGAGCTTTGAAGGTCCCTTCCATCCCACACCATTCTATGGTTCTATGAATTCCTGCTTCTCACTTAGAGACAAGGATGTTTGCTGCAGTGCTGTCTGCTGACGCCCAGCTACCAGCTTCCACATGAAGCCACATTCCCAGACAAAGGATATCTGTGGCAAGCAGGAGGCCCAGAACTGTTACATCCAGTCCTGGCTCGTGTAACTCACGCGCAAGGGCAGGCAGGCCTCCCCCTCAGCCCCGAGCCGAGCCGGCGGGACATCGGCTCCAGACTCCTGCTCAAGGCGGGCTCCAGCTGAGGGGCCGGGGGAAGCTCTCCGGTAGCCCCAGGGCCCGGCCGCACGGCCAAGGCCCGGCCCCACCGAAAGGGAGACGTGGCAGTGTCCGCGGCGGGAGGCGCCGCTTCCTGCGCGCTGGGAGCCGCTCCCGCCCCGCTCCTCCCTGGTACCTGTTACTCCAGATGCCGTAGAGCAGCTCCACGAAGGCGAAGGAGAGGTTGAGGCAGAGGAAGAAGAACAGGTTGCGGGAGGTCTTGTCCTTCAGGATGGACCTGCGCACGGAGCACACAACGGGTCACCCACCGCCGGCACAGCGGCGGCCAGGCGTCTTCCGCATCAGCCTCCCCAGCCCCTCCGCGGGGGCTCGGCCGCTGGCACGGCCCCCGCTGCGCCCGGCCCAGCCTGGGCCTCTTACCTGAACCAGCCCGACACCTTCCTGAGCAGGTTGAGCTTGGGCGGCTTGTATTCATCGTCCTTGATGGAGAGAGGCAACATCCTGCCGGGGCTGCTGGACCCAGGCTGCGGCGCACGGCCGCGCTACCGGACGCCGAGGTAAAGCCACCGCGTCTAGACCGCCGTACCCGCGGCAGCACCCGGACTACAACCCGCGGCCTACCGGGAGGAAGCACAGGAACGCCCCGCAACAGGCGGGCCTAGGCCGCCCCGCCCCTGAGTCAGCGGAGCGGCTGCGCGGCCGAGCCGAGCCGAGCCGCAGGGTACCGGGAGGCGCTTTTTGTCGTCTCGTGTGCTCGGGCCCGCGGCAGGGACGCCTCGGGAGCACGGCCCGGCTGCTGCACCGCCTCAGGAGGGCTCGGGCGGCCTCCCGAACGTGAGCGAACCCGTGCACGGGGGGAGCCGGGCCGGGGGCAGCTGTCCGCTTCGGCTGCGGGGGATCGATGGTGCCCACGGAGAGGGGGGGACCCGCGCAGTACTTGTATTAAAAATACTGTATTTTGACATAGGTCTTGATTTCCATCCGTTCTGGGTTTGGTTTTGTTCTCTACAGGGGGTATTGTAAGAATTTTTTCAAGAGGTCAGTCTTGCACTGCAATTTCATAATTTAATTCGAAAAACTCATTGGCATTTTTCTGCTGGAAGGTCCATTGAATGTTCATTCTAAAGGTTTTATATAGGCGTTTATTTTAACTAAAGAATGCATAATAACGTCATCCTTGTCACCATTACAGCTGATCATATGTAACTGAGTACATACAAGAATGTATGGCAAGCCAAGAAGTCTCATTTCCACAGCAGGCATTCATATTTTCACCATGTTTTTAAATATTTAACTAGTTAATTGTGACAGTACCATTGGTCATTATGGCTGCAAGTAGGTGGCACCTGGGGAAAGGGAACCTAAGGTTCACCCCTTTGAAAGCAGGTATGGCCAAGCTCCAGTTTGAGTTTGTATGAGCCAGGTATGAGTATCTGCACCTTTAAAATGAACCACCCAAACAAGTGATGAGCTTCTGGAAATAGTTTCAGTAATTTCTCCAGCCACACATCAAATAAGTCAGTGGTAAAACTCAAATTTGGGATGGCCTGTATGTGTGGATGTATTCAGACTGGTATAGGTACAAATTGGCAGTTCCGTACATATAAGAAACAAGTTGATATAACCACTCTTCTGAAATTTCACATAGTTAAATTATTTAACAAGCTCAGCAAATCTTTGGTCTCTAAGCTTTCATACTAATGAAATAAAAAAGAAAAGCTCCCTATCTTTGTTCAACTAGGATTAAAAGAACAAAAATCCCTCTGACAGCCTAGGAGCCTTAACAGACACGAGTTTCTTAAGTTGCTGTCTTGCATCTTGTACGTTCTTCCTGCTTGTGCTTACACTCGTATTTGTTTTCCCTTCTACCAAGCTGCCAAACGGGGGAAGAAAAAATGCCATGTCTTAAACTTGTAACAGGACTGATAAGCTCAGTAGAAGAAGGCTGCACCAGGGCAGGTTTAGATGGAGCTGAGGAACAGTTCCTTCCCCGGAGGGTGCTCAGGCATTGGAACAGGCTGCCCAGGGCAGCTCTGGAGTCACAGTCCCTGGAAGTGTTCACACACCATGTAGACGAGGCCTCAGTGCCATGGGTTAGGGGTGGCCTTGGCAGTGCTGGGCAGCGATTGGACTGGATGAGCTTAAAGGGCTTTTCCAACCTGGTTGATTCTGTGATTCTGTGACAGCATGAAGCGGATGAGACAGAAAATAATTTGATTGGGACTGCTCACCTGCCTGGTAGCTAAATACGTACAGACTGTGAGGTTCCGGAATCCTACTTGTATCTCTGCAGTTGACCCTATGGATGGGGCACGCAGACATTGCACTGGTGCAGAGCAGTAATTTTACAAGCAGAGAAGTGGGCCGTGCTTTTCTTTGTGGTTACTGGTGTAATAACGTCTTTCTGGAGTGTTCATGGAAAGGCAGAGACAGTTATTGAACTGAGGAATGTGTGCTTGTAAAGGAATTCTTGGTAGCATGTGGGTAGCTGTTGCTCTTCAGTTATAGAGTTCTTTTAAATTCCAACAGATTCAAAGATCACAAACAATTCTCCTGCAAAAACAAGGTGGGGAAACTGCTTGGCAATAATGAGGTAAGTTCAAAGGTTTTTTAGACTAAAATTATTTACATTTAGACTAAAATCATTTGCATTTCAAGCATGGTATGTGCACTTTGGAAAACAAATTATCAATATTTCTATGCTAAAACACTGATACTTTCTCATGAACTATAATGTCCTGGATCACTTAATTTGATCAGAATTCCCTGGTAAAAGCCTAGAAATTCAGCTCTGGGGCACCCAACGTAAAAAGGACATGGAGCTGCTAGAGGAAATCCAGAGGATGCCACAGAGATGGTGCGAGCAGCTCTGCTCTGGAGCCACGCTGAGAGAGCTGGGCTGGTTCAGCCTGGAGAAGAGAAGGCTCCCTAAGGGGAGACCTTAGAGGAGCACCCAGTGCTAGCTTCCAGAAGGGCTTTTTACAAAGGCATGTAGCAACATGACAAGGGGGAATGGCTTTTAGCTGAAAGAAGGGAGATTTATATTAGATATTAGGCAGAAGCTTTTCCCTGTGCGGGTGCTAAGGCGCTGGCACAGGTTGCCCAGAAAAGCTGTGGCTGCCCCATCCCTGGCAGTTTTCAAGGCCAGGTTGGACACAGGGGTTTGGAGCAACCTGCTCTAGTGGAAGGTGTCCCTGCCTGTGGCAGGGGGTTGGAACTACTTTGAGGTCCCTTCGAACCCAAACCAGTCTGTGATTCTATGACATTACTAGTGGAGTAACATGCATAATATGTATAGATGCGTTATTGTTTAGAATTAAGCTTAAACCACAACAGAATATTACTGTTGTATTCAGTGCATACTCATCTTGTGAGTAAAGGATGAAGAGCGTGTGGATGGCACATTTGAGGAGCAAACTGTGGAATGCAGTAGCTGTTGGATCCTGCGAAGTTTACAGTTCATAGATGTCTGGAGAACTAGAAGTGCTACCTAAGAGGCATGAATGTTGGGACTACCTTTGTAGGAGCTGCCTTTTAAGAGCTCCTGTTCAGTTCCAGAATCAGGAGGATGCAGAAACTCCTGCTTTATGCTGCAGCTCCTCTGCCATTTAGCTGATACATAGCTTCTAGCATCTGGCATTTTCAGTTTCCACTGAGTTCTAGATTTAGCAGAGCAGCTGTTACTGATACTGCATTCTTACATTATTCCATTTGGCATGTTTCTTTTGCTCCACCTATGCTACAGCCTCAGTTAGCATGATCAGAATCGTATTTTCCACATTATATGTGGAGCATATATACAAACTATTGACAAAGTGTCCAGCAAATCAGTGATAAGGATTGTTCCATCCTTGGTGGAGAAAGAAAGACCGTTTTACTTCTTTCTCTCTGCCAGAACTCTTGAGGACATACTTTCTCTGTCTTTTGTTTCTCAGCTAAGGCAGAGCTCCTGCAATTCTGACTTTCTCTACAGTTTTGCTTTCTAATTTCAGCTGGATGTATGTATGTAAATAAATGTTCAATCAAAAATGCAGTACTGAGAAAATAAGAGACAGTGAGCAATCTAAATAATTACTCCAGATTCATTTGCACAAAATAATGAAATGTGATGTTAACCAGAAAAGGTGAAAAGCAAATAAAGGTAGAAACTGAAACAGTATGTGTCTTGATAGTCAAACATAATTGGCTGAATCATTGAATGGCTGTGTTGGAAGGGGCCTTAAAGATCAAAAATCCTAAAATCCTCCTTATTTACTTAAACAAAAGTCTATTTAATACTGTGGGAGTTTGCTCATGTAAGGGAGATAACTATAAGTGGGATTAATGACTGTTCCTTTCCTGTTACTTGTTTTAAAGGTATTTCCACTTCTGTAAGCTCCCAGGAAGAGTTAAGGGAATCCGCCTACTGCGCTTCACTTCAGTGGTGATCATTGTTTTACTTCTTGTGGCAGGTGCTTTGACAGCTTTGCTTCCCAGTATCAAAGATGACAAAATGCCCAATTCAAGAAGGGAACCAAAAACCCAGAGTCATTCTGCCTTGGATGCATTTACTCTTATCATGCAGACATATAATAGGACAGACTTACTGCTAAAGCTTTTAAATCATTATCAAGCCATCCCCCACCTACATAAAGTAATTGTTGTGTGGAACAACGTTGGTGAGAAGATACCAGAGGAAATGTGGAATTCCTTGGGACCTCATCCTGTCCCTGTTGTCTTTAAAGTTCAAACTGTAAATCGCATGAGGAACAGACTCCAGAATTTCCCGGAGCTGGAAACTAAAGGTAATCAGCAGTTCATATTGCTACTATTAATACTATTTGCATACTTCAAATGCTAAAAGGGAAATGGTTTGAGTTTTACTATGTAATAAGCCCATGGATCTGTTGGTCCACTTAATATAGAAGAAAGCTACATTATGACATCAGATGCACACCACCACTACCAGCCGGCTTTCAGTCAAGAGTAAGGAAAAAAAGAGGGATGTCAAATGCATTCACAGGCTTTTTGCAAGGTGTTGTCCATTTCCTTTGTCAGGCAAACACAGCTAGTTCAGCCTCTCTTTATAAACTAAAATTCATAGTGCATGTATTTGTTGAGTCTCTGCATTAATCTGGATTTAAGTCATCTGGTAATGACTTCATTTAATCCATTTATTTACAACTGAGTTCTCATGCATGTGCTCTTCTGAAGAGGAATTTCCATCTCTAGCTCTCAGGCTTTCTACCTCAAATTATGGAATCTTTTTAAGAGTATTTTCCCCAGTCTTGGCTATTCATGTAAATATTCTTCATAAGCTCTTTGCAGGAGAAGCACAACAATAAATCTGTTTGTTTCAAGCGGAAAAAAAAAATCCTGTATGTTCATAGCAGCCTTCCAGTATCTGAAGGGGGCTACAGGGATGCTGGAGAGGGACTCTGCATCAAGCACTGTAGCGACAGGACAAGGAGTGATGGGTTAAAACTGAAACAGGGGAAGTTCAAGTTAGATCTAAGGCAGAAGTTCTTCCCTGTGAGGGTGCTGAGACGCTGGCACAGGGTGCCCAGAGAAGTGGTAAAGGCTCCATCCCTGGCAGTGTTCAAGACCAGGTTGGACAGAGCCTTGGGCAACTTGCTCTAGTGGAAGGTGTCCCTGCCCATGGCAGGGGGTTGGAACTGGATGATCTTAAGTCCCTTTGCATCCCAAACCAGTCCGAGATCATATGATTCTATGATTAGTAAAGGCAGTTCTGTTTACTGCCCCCTTCCTAATATGACTTGCAAATCAAAAGCCATGACTTCTAGGAAGACACTAGAAACTTCAGCATCCAAAGTGTTTTATTTACTGTAAAAGGGTTTACACTGACTGTAAACTTAAAAAGCTTTAATGTACCTGAAGTTCTGATCTAAGAGTATCTTTCATTTTCCACTTCCTGATAGTCTTTTGCCTCAAATTTAAGGCAAAGATTCTTCTTGATGTAGTTCAAGCTATTGAATGTTGCCTGTACAATTCGTTAAGCTTGCTTTGTCAGAACTTGCAAGTAGTGAGGGGATGGGTAAAATTTTATGCTAAGAATCCCTTATAAATCTCATACTCTGAATAATGGTATCTAACTCTTTTGGTTGCATTTTTATGCAAGATTAGCAGGATCTTAAGTTGTTTAATCTTTTGAGAAGTTAAATGTGGCTTTCTTTCTCCCCCTTTCAGCTGTTCTGATGATGGATGACGATACACTAGTCAGTGCTCATGACCTTACTTTCGCCTTCTCTGTTTGGCAGGTAATGTTTTGCACCTTCGCATGCAGTTATTTGAGAGTTACAATTGAGATGAATGGTTTTAAGTAAGAGTAATACCATATCTTCATGCTTTACTACCGGTTTTGTAGCTATACAGCTAGATTTTAGAAGGATTGAAGCACTGAACAGTAGCAATTGCAAAAATATTCTTCAATACTAGCTATACCTGTAATCTGTCTTTCAAATTTGTAACTCTTCTTGTACAAGAACACTGAAGTTGCTGACTGCTGAATTTATTTAAATTGATAGGAGGCAGCAAAACAAAACTTGTGGGGTTTCTTCATCTCCAAGAGAAATTGTCTATAAAGTTATTTTGAGTGCCAATTATACAGCTGCAGATTCTGTATAGATGTTTCTTGGCACTACATAGCGTTGAATGGGGCATATTGTGTTAGTTCTGTGAAACTGTGTTTAATTGCAACATTTATGCAGATCAAGGGACTATATGCCAACACTTTCATTCTTTCCTGGCAATAATCTTGTGCTCTTCTCTTTTTTTTTTTAAAGCGTAAATGTCACTTATGACAATTCCTAACACACATTTCACAGTGTGTTCACTGTAATTGTTTATTTTTTCTTTCAGCAATTTCCAGAGCAGATAGTGGGATTTGTCCCTAGGAAGCACATTTCTACTCCTTCAGGTGTATACAGTTACGGCAGCTTCGAGTTGCAGAGCCCTGGATTTGGAAATGGAGATCAGTATTCTATGGTTCTTATCGGGGCAGCATTTTTTCATAGTGGATATTTAGAAGACTTTCAAAGACAGCCAGAAGCAGTTTATGCTTTAATAGATGAAACTCAAAATTGTGATGATATTGCCATGAATTTTCTGGTAGCCAAGCATACTGGGAGACCTTCAGGAGTGTTTGTGAAGCCTGTTGACATAAGGAATTTAGAAAAAGACACTAACAGTGGCTATTCTGGAATGTGGCACCGAGCAGAGCATTTGTTACAGAGATCTTACTGTGTAAATAAACTGGTTAATATTTATGATGGCATGCCTTTAAAATATTCTAATATCATGATTTCTCAGTTTGGTTTTCCTAATTATGCCAATCACAAGAATAAAATGTAAGCCAATGTATTTAAGGGGTTAAAAGTTAAACAATACTCAGTGAATTGTACTGAGTTCAAGGAGAGGAGAAGGTCTAATTACTGCATCTTGGCCATCCTTATTTGTAGCTTCTGAACTTTTTCCACATGGCTTCTTATGTATTTTTTTTCTTTCCTACTAATTTTCCAACGTAAATTATGAGAAAACCTAAAAAATATATAGTAATGTTTAGCTGTGATAAAATCATCCCATTTCATTAAAACTTGAAAAGCTATTACAATTAATTAGGCCAGTTCTCCAGAAACATGCAGAGAAAAATGCACACCTACACTTGCAGTGCTTATGTTTAGATTTTTATTTCAATGTTAATCTAGTTAAATGAGGTCTAGGCATATTTTTTATAGTTGTATCTTGAGATACTTCCTTGACTTCCTCCTTCTCCTCCTGGTTCCCAGTGAAACTGTAGAAGGGCTACAGTAAACTGTTGGCCAGGCTTCTAGATTCCTGTAAAAAACCCCTATGAAGTTTGTATATATAAGCTATTCTGTATTCTGAGATGTTCCTGAAGCTGCTAGCTGGACAAGAGTACCTCACCTTTATCTCAGATAGTCCTAAAATGGTTGCTTATAGCACCTACTACTGCTGAGATAGTGGAAAATGATCTCTGATGTGGCTTTTTTCCCCATTATTAATTTGCCTGAAGTTGCTGAAACACTACAAGCAGCTGAAAGGTAAAACCTAGCAGCTAGAAATGCAAGAAACATGAATCCATAAAATATGAAATTTTTATAAGCAGCAAGAAGAAATTGAGGGGATATTACATGTTAAATACTCTCTTTAGTCTTAGTTTTATTTTTATATTTTGCATGTACGTTGTTACAAAAATATGCCCAAGAAAATCCTCACTCTTAAAATATGTCTTATTTACCATTGCTAATAAGAGCAGGCTGTTCTACATATATGACAGTGTACATTTTGTTGTATTACATGTCTACTGTTTTTTTAGCTACTCTTTCATAGAATCACAGAATCCCAGACTGGTTTGGGCTGGAAGAGACCTTAAAGCTCATCTAGTTCCAACCCCCTGCCATGGGCAGGGACATCTCACACTAGAGCAGGTTGCTCCAAGCCCCTGTGTCCAACCTGGCCTTAAACACTGCCAGGGATGGGGCAGCCACAGTTTCTCTGGGCACCCTGTGCCAGCGCCTCAGCACCCTCACAGGGAAGAGCTTCTGCCTTAGATCTAACCTGAACTTCTTCTGTTTCAGTCTGAACTGATCACCCCTTGTCCTGTCGCTACAGTCTCTGATGAAGAGTCCCTCTCTGGCATCCAAATGAGTATTTACATACTTTTTGGTTCCTTTCATCTCTGGTTTTGGTGGCTGTGGCATCAGAATTACAATGAATGAGTAAAGCATTACAAAAAAAAAAAAAAGTCTTTTAAAGTATAGAGGTATCTGACAGGGCTGGACTGTTATGAGTCTCTGATTTCCCTGGCCTCATCTATAGCAAGAAACAGAGCTATTACAGCTTTTGTTAAATTGGGATGCTGTGGTTCTGCAAGCAGTGTGTTGACGTAGATTGGACACACCTTTTCCATTGAAGTTACAGACTTATTTTTATGGTATGGAGGAAAGAAAATAGATTTTCTTGGATCACAGAAAGGAATCAAATCTGGCATCCAAAGTAGATTTTGTTTAATTTGCATCAGCTTTTAATCGATTCTTAATACCAGTTCAAAGGCATCTATGGGCAATCATTAACACCTAATACCAAGTGCACAAAGAGCATCTGCACAAAATGGGTGTATCATTTTTTCAGTTTTTGTAATGCTAGTTGACAAAAAGTGGTTGAAATTTTTGACAAAGTCTTTACAGCTGGGCTGATTCTGGATGTAAGTCTTTGGGGGAATGGAGAATTCTTATGCCTTCTATCAGTGTTAAAGGATTTTGTTTCTGTTCAGTGAAGTCTTCCTAGTACTTTTGTAAGATTTAAAGAACAAAATCTTAACATGACAGTGTAAAGTCTGCTGAATTTTACTTTAATAGTGAAAAGTAGATTTTAATTGTTGTGCTGTAGTGGTAAGTAGTAATCAAGCAGGTCTGCAATCTTTCCAGAAATGCAGCTTTCTTCATGGCAGTTTACTGCATTTTGTTTACTCACTGATCTGTAATTTCTGTTCTTTGCAGTATCAACTAGAATTGTTAAAGCTCACAGGTGTTGTTTACCTTACTTTTAAAGTGAAATGAACTGGCACTCAGCCAAATCTCATTATTGGCTTCTTTGCTGGGGAGAAGGAGTTGGTTTGGGTTGTGTCCTGGGTTCAGCAAGAAGTTGGGATTACTTTTTGTTCTTCTGTGTCAGTGAATTAATAGAACAAGATTTTATTATGCTGGTAAATTTAATTTGTACCATTGTCAAATAAAATACGTAAACCAGATTGGTTTCAGTGTTAGATGTCTAAAGTAAGCTCACAGTTTGCATACAGATGAGCAGCACCAAGATTTCATTTTTTTAAAAACATGTACTTGTTGGCACTTACATTCTCTTAATTTAGGTAAGGCCTAAATTAATTGAGGAAATAAACTGAGGGGGAAGAACCACAGCCTTAAGCAGTTAGTTAGACCTAGATAGCAAAAGAAAATTTGAAGATAAGATTTCATCTCTAGTCATAATTCATTGTGCTTAGGGTGCTTAGGAAACAAAAGGGTTTTGTTTATTTTTTAAAGGCTGACAACTTTTTATACCTTGATGGCTACAAAAATGCCTTAGGTTTCTTTAATGAAATATATTACTGAGGATTTATATTTTTAACAAAATAATATGTATGTGGTGATTTCTTCTGAGAGATTATCTAGATGTCATTTGGAAGTGTTTTACAGTCTAAACGGATTCATCACCACCTCTGAATGTTCTATAGAAATTAATGTTTAGGAACACAGGGCTTTAAAAATGGCATCTAAAAGATCTTTAATAAAATCTTGTTGAAAAATTCAGGATATAGTTTTAAAATGATGCAACAATACTACAAGAAAATTACTTCTTTATATGCACCTTAAAAAACACCACAAGATGTCACTGTAGCCTTGGTATTTGGTATCATCAAATGTTAATAGTAATTGGAATTTAGTAAAATAAAAATTATATGAGGTGAGAACATTCCTAAAGGTAGTATTTTGCAAGTCGAGCTGCATTAGATAATCATACTAAAAGCTGAGATACAACCCTGGAACTGAAAAAAACATGGAGGTTATTTTGTGCATATTTTTACAGGGGAGAAAGATTATTTTAAGTACTTGTTATGCTTACAAAGGTTCCAGCTAATTGCCACAAATGAGAACTGGTATGTAACGAAACCAATACTTGTAATTTTTACAAAAGGTATAGAAGTGGTATACAAATAACATTTGACAGTGGGGTTCAGTTTCTAGACACCTTTGCCTCCTAGGTTTACTAGCCTAGCTAGAGGGACTTACAAATAATAGGCTTTAACACAAACTAGGTATCTAGGGATTCTGGATCCTGGATAGCTATCCTGCTACACTGCTCCATCTTTGCTTCTGTTGCTGAAGATAGCTTTGTTAAAGCTAATTTGAGGAGGCTCATTCAAACGCCCCTCAAGCAGAGTGCAGCACAGACTTAGAAATGTATGTTACATTGAACTGTAGCGAAAGTTTGAGTAAAAAAGGCTGTTAAAAACAGTTGTTCTGGAGAAAATACACTGATAACTCTTTTCTTACTGAGGATATGTTACCCCTTAGAAAATTGCTTACAAATAAAATGTAGATATTTAATTAAGGGTTAGCTATACATGTAGGCAATCTCAAGCAATATAGGAAAAGATAAGCACATCGATTTCCATAAAGAGCAAATAGCCCCCAACAACCTTTATTTAATTTCCTGTTACAGAAGACTGTGCTCTTAGTCTTGCAAGCATCTTGTATGGAATAGTACTTACTTCTAAGAATAAGGTTTCTTACCTAATTTTGCAGGACCAGGCCCAGGCCCAAACAGTCATACTTAGGAATATTAGTTCTGGAGTGATGAAAAACAGGGCAAAATAGAACCATTTGAGAACACAGGTACACATTATTGGAACAAACACAGAAAATAAATAAGCAACTACACTGCATGAGAAGTATTTTCTATAGTACTTCAGTGTATTTATAAGGCCTTAAAGAGCATCCAGTGCTTATGACACTAGATAAAAATTGAGAAGTTGAAAGTGTTTCATACTTGTATTTAGCCTTATCTACAAACAACTTAGAATCAATTATATGAACTGGTAATTACAGGAGCTTATTTACAGTGTTTGGAAAACATGGTGATAATAACATGAACCTCAGGGCTGCATGTTGCTTTGCATTGCAATGGTTTTTAAGGTGTTTCAAGGGTGGGTTTTGTTTTGTTTGGTTAGTTGTGAGATGGGACAGCCTGCCCTGCTTGGCACTCAGCAATTCTTTCGAAAGAGGAGTTTGGTAGAAAAAAGGCATTTCTAACATTTTCAACACTCCTGTTTGTTTGGCGGAAAGTTAATCGCAGACTACAAACTAATTCAGTTTTTGCAAGTGAACCACCAAAAAAATCAATCTTTAACTTCTGGGACAAAAAAAAAAAAAAAAAAGGAAGTAGTTTTGTGTAGTTTTACCAGTGTCTTTGAAACGCTTTACGAAGCTCTTCATTGCCCCGCGGCTGACACAAACCGCAAAGGCCGGCAAGTGACCGGCTGCCTATGGCTCGGAGGCGCCAGAGCTCGGCTGAGGAGAGCCCCGCTCGAGGGCACGTCACCAGGCCCGCTCGCTCATTGGTTGGAGAGGAGGAAGGCGGCTTTTGATTGGCGAGTCACCTTATCAATCAACCGAAAAGGTGGTGCGCACCCTGCCTGGCCGGGCCCCCGCGCCTGCAAGTGTCCCAGAGAGGGAAGCGGGACTAGCGTTGGCCGTGCGCCCCGGGGCGGCCTCCCGCCCACCCCTTCCCGGAGGTGCTAGCCCCGCCTCAGGCTCTGCGAGCTGTACTTCTGCCTCTGCA